TGAATATCGAACAATACGTCAATTTCAATGATTTTGGGTTTTTTTGAGACACCCTGTATAAAAAAAAGACCTTTAGAAATCAAGCATATTGTTAAAATTTGAATGCCATTTCAATTGCACATATGCTGAACTGTGGTGCGTGAAATATTGATGGACTGCATATATTAGAAAAAGGAGACCTTTAGAAATCAACCATTGTTATAATTTGAATCCTGGAGCACTTTGCTAAGCACATAGCAGATTGATCCCAGGAGCAGACAATCTTTTGTTTAGACGTTATTTCAAATTCTAAAGGTCTCCTTTTTCTAATATATGCACCATCAATATTTCCCGCACTACGGTTCAGCATATGTGCAATTGAAAAGGCATTCAAATTTTAACAATATGCTTGATTTCTAAAGGTCTCCTTTTTTTTATACACCCTGTACAGTATACTAGTATTGCTTTTGTTTCAGCTGTTGTCTAAGGAGAAATACAGGGTGTCTCAAAAAAACCCAAAATCATTGAAATTGACGTATTGTTCGATATTCAATGCCCTAGCACTAAGTTAATCCCACGAGTGCATAAAAGATTGACATAACTGCTATAATGAATGGTAATACTCAGCGTAAACTTGTTATGTCAGGCATAAAGTACTAAACCCACGAATGCATATTACGCATATTACAATTTACGAAGCATTTTTAAATTCCCATGAGCAAACAAACGTTCACTTTACAAAGATATTTTAATTTTTTAAAACAAATTAATCACCCTGTCAAAATCCTTTGTGTTACGGCATTGAAATTCGAACAATACGTTATTTCAATGATTTTGGGTTTTTTTGAGACACCCTGTACAAATGCCATATAAATGAGGGGAGAGCGGCAGGTGTATTGCAAAGTGCCGTTTTTGAATAAGGGTTACCACCGCTGATCTTAAGTACTACGGTCGCAGCATTCATTCGCCTTAGCTGTTTGCATAATATATGGTGTGATTACTGATCCCATAATGAACCTGATTATAATCTGCGATGTGAAACACGGAATAGACGTGAAGATATGAAAACATGAAGGATTGCGAGCGATTGCCTATTTCATTATCATCGTCTTTTTTGCAAAAGACATATGGATTGTTTTCTCTCTGCGATTGACTGTACAATGCAATGTCGCAGTTCAGATACAATTTTGCATATCAGAAAAAAAAGCCTTAATGTCTAGTAACGAAACTACACGATAAACAATGACAAATTTGAAAATTGCAACAGTTGATAACGAAAAATATAAAACCTGCATTTTCCGGGTGACTGAGCCAAAACTAGTAGTACCTCATATCACTTTTTTATATATCAAACTAATTCCTAGCTTTCACATGCAAATTGAAATACATCTATTTATGTAATCAGGTGTACGATCATTCATTGTTCTGAGATTTGACAATTCCTAACTTTCTCTCAGCTGTTTCAACTCGCCTTAATGTAAATTAGACACGGATAAATTTAAAGACCCTTTAAAGCCTTTTGAAAGTTCCCTCTCGCGTCCATTTTTTCCTTCGGCAGGTGGATTCGTTACAGATAAGATTGTTCTTCATATGAGGCAATATTCATTGTAACATTCGTCACTGATAAGAAGAGACAAAGACTTAAGCTGGGATAACATTTCTTCTTTGTGAAAATAAGTTGGAAGATTTCTAAAGTAACGATTCCGTTAAAAGAAAAAGCAAGCCTTTTAAATAAAACAGAAAGCTTGCTTGATTGAAGTTACTGTTGAAAAAAATCCTAAGTTTCTTGTGCAACCGAAAGAAAGAAGTTTCAATAATAAAAACTTTGAAACAAAAAAGTTTCTATACGGTTGAAGTACAATGTCCAAAGGAGTCAAAGGAACAAAACGTTATATACCATTGGAAGAAACAGGTGAAGTCTGCCCTTCGCCAGAGCCGGAGCCGAGGACTGCAGCTTACGTGTTTATACATTTTATTCGGCCACTTTTCGCCGAGTTATTTGGTGTTATGTTTTTCGTATTCGTGGGAGTTTCTAGTGTATGTCGAAACAAAACCGGGACAGCTCGTATCGCCACGGGCCTAGCTCATGCGTTTACTCTGTTTGTAATGGTTGCAGCGACTGCCAAAGTAAGGTATGCAAGGAACTTGGGGAGATGCAGATAGCTAGTTATTATTGTATAAGTATTGCAACCTGAGGATAAATTAGGTTAAGTATTACAATTTTTGAATGAATATATATATTATGTCACAAACTGTCAATTTACTAGTATGGTCAATGTTAGTAGAAATATAGTTAAAATTATATACAATGCAGTAATTATACATTTCCATCGCGTTTTGTAGGTAATAAATTTATAAAACCGTCGCGATAGTGCTATGTAGAAATGTATTAATGTTAATTGTGTATGGGAAAACGATTCGCGTTTCCGTATCATCTGCAAATGATCTGATAACGTCTATTATAGTAAATAATTCACCTTGCCACAATGGAATGACCCAATCAAAATAATTTATCCAACCATAAGCCTTGGCATGCCTTGCTCAGAAAAGTAATTAATTACCCAACCCTACATACCCCAGAAAAATAGCTTACCCAACCCATTTCTCTTCGGTACCAACCCTGGGTATAAATAATGAACCAGAGCTGTTGTAGATCTTTTGGACAGTTTATTTTTTCTGTTTCACAGCGGTGGCCACCTCAATCCAGCTGTGACACTGGCAATGACAATCGTTCGTGGCTTACAACCGATTGTATTGGCTCCGTTGTATGTCTTGGCACAGCTGTTGGGTGCAATCATCGGAGCTGCTTTAGCAAGGGTATATATTCAGTTCTTGTCTTTGTGGTAACTGCCCCCCCCCCCAAAAAAAAATAAATTAATATATATATATATATATATATATATATATATATATATATATATATATATATATATATATATATTGAAGGAAAGGTCATTGTCCAGCTGGACATTAGTAGCATGGAGTCGAACGCAGTCGTACAACACTAGATCTATTTCCCGTTAATCACAGATGTAGGCGTAAATGTCAATTCTCGTCACATGTTTTTGTTCCGTATATGTAATTGTAAACTGTTGCCATCTCGATTTATTTCATTGTAAACGACCCGTTGAAGACGAAAGACTACAGACGAAAGTTCGTAAAATAAATATATCAAACCAGAGAGCGTCTGAACACTATTACGATTGACCGATTGCGTTTCCATTCGTTTTCAGGCAGCAATGCCTAGTACAAGTTACGATGCCGTAACAGGAGGTGTCCACATGCTTGGCCATGATGTTGAACCTGGTCAAGGAATACTGGCAGAAGCAGTAGCGACCTCCATCTTGGTTCTTGCCGTACTCATGGTGGCATTTGATGACAGGAACAAGAGTGTCCTCGGGCCCCTCGCTATTGGCTTGGCCGTGGGTGGTGGCATATTTGCCATGTAAGTTATCATTTTCAAGGCCTGGTTAAATTTCCTGGTCATTTTAACCATTTCCCTACTAGATACAGCTATTTCAATCAAGGTTGTCCACGAGCAAAGCAGAAAAGTCGAATACGAGCGCGAAAGGCTGCTGGGAACCGCTTTGGAAGTTCATTAATTTGTTAGCGATTCCCAGCAGCCTTTCGCGCTCGTATTCGACTTTTCCGCTTTGCTCGTGGACAACTTTAATTGAAATAGATGTATATATTTCCCTACTATATATTTCCCTAGATATAGTCCGGTTAATTTGTCCAGGAATTCCTGGTTAAAGGGATGTCAATATAAATTAAGTTTGTCTTATTTGAAAGAACTTTTGAAGTTATACATTAACTTCCTTTACAATTATTCCGTATCTTGCTTGGTTTTCGAAATAAATCGACTTATTTTGATCAAAAGCAGCGTGCATTCCGCCATCTTGGATATGCATTCGATATGCATACGTCACAAGTAGGGTAAAAAGCGAAATTTTTATCTTGCAAACCACATGTCATTATCAGTTTGAAACTCGATTTTCCGAAGTCTTTTTAGTACTCAATTAACTCACAACATTTTAAGAAACTTTACGAAGATATTAGTCCCACATGAAGAAGTTAAAACATGTTTACCCTGCTTGTGACGTCATCAAGAACTCGCTTAATTACGAGAAAGTTGTAATTAAGGGTCTTCATATATAACTTTAAAAGTTCTTTCAAATAAGACAAAGTTAATTTTTATTGCCATACCCCTTGTGCGACAAACCCAAAATATAATTTTTTGTATATCAGTATATGTAATATTTGGATCATTCTGAGAAGAAGTGCGCTGTATCTTTATAGTAAAGAACCTCATCTTGATCAACTTTTTCACTGCCCAAATTTCCAGATATGATGTAATTAGGTGAATTTTTGGTACAAAAAACAAAGGAAAGCTAATTTGCACTTCATCTAATGACATCATATATCCGCAAACTTTGACAGTGAAAAAGTTGATCACGATGGAATTTCTTATATTTTATTATAAAGATATATTACATTACTTCTTCGAATGACCCAAATACCTATTTTCTAGTGGAGATATATCTGGTGGGTCCATGAATCCTGCTCGAAGTTTTGGTCCGGCCGTGGTGCGAAATTACTGGAAATATCATTACGTGTACTGGGTTGGTCCGATTCTTGGCAGTCTGTTTTCAACCTTGATGTATGGTCTGTTTTTGGCATCACCCAACAGATTGTGGCTCCCCATTTATGAACCCGTGGATTGATGATTTATGAACCCGTGGATTGATTTATCATTCTTAATGAAACTAACGTTTACTAGCTACTAGGTGATGCTAGTAATGTGATTTGTTTGTTGTTGTTGTTAGTATAGAGACGCTATATGTGAAAATTACAAAGGTGGCTCCATACACTTTTCATCATTGGGGGACTGGTACCTAATCTTCAGTTCTCGCGCGAAAATGTTAAAAATATATGCAAAAATAAATACAACTTTTTCGGTATAAAATCCGAACCACAAGTCATGTTTATTTTGATGTTTTGAGTCTTCCTTGTTCTCATTTGTTCTCAAAGAACAAACTTCGTCCTGATTTAGCTCTGAACATTGAATAACTAGTCTTTTTAGAAGACATTTTAAGGTAAAAAAATGCAATGTTCAACTTTCAAACTCTTGTGAAAACTGGCGATCGGCCCCGGACCGGCGAAAAGTTTTTACTCCAATATTTGGCGATTTATAAGTTCATATCCAGAGTTTTTTTGTACTTACAACTGGTAAATGTATTCAAAGTGTTACTAACAGCAAAGGAATTCAGTGAAACAGCATCGTGCGCCGGTTCAAACTGTTTTAACTTGTCAACAACAACATGAAAACACACAAGTTACGACTGAAAACGAATATAAAACTATGTAGAAAAGCCAAAAAGTTCATACATGTTACACATATCTTATACCAAACGACCGACAATCACCTGTTTTCTTGGCGTTATCCCGAGTTAGCATGAAAAACCAAATATATTTGCATTTCTAAGCAAGAAAACACAATATATATTTGATATTTCGACGAGACTAAAAACTTTTTTGTGCGTGTTTTTCTGGAGATGCGCCTGCGAAAACATGTACGCGCATGTCAATTCATTGATCTTGCAGAGTGTGAAAAACTTTGGCCGCGCGGAATAAAACCGTGATTATTTCCAAAACGAGTTCGGTAAGGTACCCTGAAAATTTGTACATGAGTAGATACATGCTTCAAGATTTCATGATGGAAAAATAAAAAAAAATTGTCGACAGAAACTGTCAAAAAAGTCGAAATTTAATTCTAAAGAATTGAGTCGACAGATTTTTTTTAAACTTCCCAGAAATGTTTCTCGACACTAACGTAACTGATTTATTAAAAAAAAAGTTGGGGTCACCGAACTCATTTTTAAAAAAAACTCGAAAAACTGCGATATTTTCGGCTATTTAGTGTTGCCAGTATTCGTTATAGTTGTCATGGAAACGCGACTTTTATCAGAATTCTTCTTGTCTGTGACACGTCTTACTATGTGTTACAATTATAAGTAAAACTTAACCCTGTAAAAGCATTTAAACAGAAAATATTCAACTTTTGCTCCTTTGGCTAAAAAGTGTATTGAGCCACCTTAATACAATTTGAAATTTGAACTTCATTCTTTTCGTTTTGTTATGACATATCAATTATATTATATCATTCTCAGGCTGGTGTTTTTATTATTTCCCGGTTGATCGATTGTCGGTTAACTTTATCCTAGGAGAACGAAAATTTCAAAGCATGAAGATAGTTCTCCAGAATTCTTGTCTGGATCAGCGGAAGTTTTATTTTTCAAAGTTTTGAAATAAACAGAAGTGCAGATCTACCCAGGACAGTAGCGACCGGGGATATGGGTGTGTGACACGCCCCCCCCCCCCCAATAATTGTGAATAATATATTTCAGGTAATTGTCAGGTAAGTTTGCGATTGGAAATTCAGGTAACAATCGTGTCTGAAATCGGAGAATGGTAATTCAATATAAGATTTAGGTTAATGGTGGTATAAGTTTAACATCAGGGCCAATACTGAAGTATACAATGTTTTTTGGGATTGTTTGGACTTTCATGGGGACGAAAGCGATATTTACTTGAGAAATTCTCTTGGACTTTGTCGAAGCAAGGAACGAGTTCCTCGATGAGTTCTATAAATTGGAGGTCTTGAGATGGAGGGCCAGTTTAGAAACGAAAGGATGTCAATTCCGCGTGAGAGCTCTGTCAAACAAAGTTTTCGGTAAGTTTTCCATATACTTTCGGTCTAACATACTGGACACACATCTTAGAAATTTCGATGAATCTTTCTCGCCAGTCGCAAGTTTCCTGCTGTGTTTTACACGTTTTTGAAAAAATCTGGCGCAATGAATTCGAGCCTTTTCGGCTGAATTTACACACTCGCAACGAAGCAAACTTTCTTTCAGAAGTTGTACTTGTTTGCAGCCGAGCAAAACCACTTCTTACACGGTTCATTAAGATTTATTTCTCAAGGGTAAAAGTAACATACACGAGCTATTCTTGAAATCCGATGCTCCACACTTCAAATGTTTATATATATATAAGTTATACTTAGTTAGATAATTTAATATAACCTTATATCTTAAAAGCTTTCAAAAGCCTCTTTGATTTCTAAAAGTCCCCACGGCACTGAGCAAAACTATACTTTGGTGAAATGTTTTCACGTAATGAAGAGTTTATAGTCAACTAACAAGGCGCCATGTTACACGCGGCAATTTTTTCTGCAACTTTCAATCCAATTTCTTTTAGAGCCATGCCCATGTCATCTAAAAGTAGTCACACAAAAATGTGAGCATGGTCTACATTCTCTGCCGAGACTATACTTGTACATACTCTTAAGGCAGCCTAGACCTGGGCGCACTTGTTTTGCAGTATATTCAAGTTTAGTGTAGCTTTCTTATAAATAGGTCCTAGGTCTAGGCTGCTCTTAAAGTGTGGGATAGGATTAAAAATGTCGGCAGAATATATGGTAGGCCATGCTCAGAAATTGCATGGCACTGAAGTTGCAGTAAAAATTGCCACGTGCAACAAGGCCTAGTGATAGAAGATGGGCAAATTATCATTCTGCATGCTATACCTGGACTGAATGCAATTCTTCCAAAACTCAAGACCATATCAACCGATTAACAATACGACTACTTTAAATAGTGAAAATACAACCTCGTACACGGGCCCTTTGAATACACCCTTTCGATAATTACGTCACACATACTTTGTGGTCTTGGAGCCTCGCTCTCATTAGTAAATTACGCAAGGAGATTGGCTCACGATTCATGAGAGTGAGGCTCCCAGGCCAAATGACGTAATTATCGAAAGGGTGTATTGCTACGCAGTCGCGTGAAGTGTGCGCGGAATATCAGCTACAATCTCCACGCGCGCGTCACAGCAATAGAACTTTGTTATAGTGATGTCAAACGCGGAAAAGCATAGGACAATGCAAGTCGTTGGCGAGCCAACAAATTTCATTAAAACATCATTTGCATTGCGAATTGCCGCTAAAATTGTCCCTTGGGACATCGTATTTAGTGTTTTTCCGCGTTTAACGCCATTATGAGAAAGGTCTATTAATGGTACACGGGACAATTTTTAGAGATAATCCACATTGCTGAATGATAATGAAACCCCACTGCTAAAATTTAGGCTTGGTTTACCACAGTATACTCTGAACGTTTCGTTGTTTAAAATATAACAAGTACTAAAATCAATGTTGCAATGTGTGTCATTACTAAAGATCGTCCCGTGCGACACCGCTTCAACTAGTTTTAGGTCGTATGCAAATGAGCCTTGATTTGGCAATATAATGTCGCTTATCACCAAACCATGCGTTCTAAAATACACAATAACTTCATATCATTGTGCTTGGTATACGTGATAAAATACAGTGACATGACCATGTTATTCATCGTCAAATGTGGTTTTCTTTCCTTGGTATTCCTGGATGGATCCTTTGTTCTTGGCTGCCCCGGGTGATTTATTGAATCCACCACGAAAACCACCTCCACCTCGACCTCCACGGAAACCACGACCACCTAATAATCAAAACCAAACACAATTTCGCCCTTTTAGTTAAGTTTAACAAATTCCAAACAAGTACTAAACACACATATATACAGTGGTGTAACTTTACTTTAGTTGGACATGGAAATTAGTTGCCCTGAATAAAATTCACTTGCCATCAGACAATGGCCACTGGGGTACCTAGGTAGGGGGTATAAATTAAGGGGACAACATGTCGACCCGTTCTCCCACTGCTCTATATGGCCATGTTATACTGCATCAGATCTAGCTTTGGCCCACAAAAAAACAAAATTTGAATCAAGTACATGCACTATAAAAATTTATATCCGACAATGAAAACATAAACTTACAAAGATGCCCAGCTTCTTGTGGCAAAGCAACTTACCCAATCGGACAAGCAAGATAAAACGTTTACTTGCCCGTCAGACACCTCTGATACACATACACGCGCTTACGGTCTCTCGAGTAAAAATATCGAGGCAACTTTTAATGCCAGAAATAGACGTTCACCCAGGGATGGATCCAGCATGGTCTGGTAGGGAAGGGGGGGGGGGGTGCTCCGCCAAAAAAAATTTCGGAAAGCCACAACCTCCCCCATCGACAACTTTTTAGGGAAAATTTTTTTCAGGACGAGTACGTTGCAATTGCTTTCCAGTGACTTTACACATCCATCAACTTGCTTAACCACTGCGAAGTCTAGCAATATTTAATAATATTTAATATTTATATTGCGCAAATTAACATGTTATAGTATATGATCAAATGCGCATAGCTACAGTATTTGAATTGTAATTGTTGTTCACAGTTCGCTTATCATCATGTTATTACTCAAATTACTGAATCTCATTTTGTCTCTGATAATTTTTTGCTTTATCATGAAAAATAGCACCCCCCTGCACCCCTCCTGGCCAGGGCTAGGGGGGGGGTGTGTGCACCCCCGCACCCCCCAGTAAATCCATCCCTGCGTTCACCCCTTACCTCCTCGTCCACCTCTGCCACGTCCCCCAAAGCCGCCGCCGCCACCACCAGGTGAGTCACGTGGTTTGGCGAAATCAAGGAACAATCTTCGACCATCTACTTCTTTTCCATCCAGTTTCTTCTTCGCATCCTTCGCCGTATCTGTCTCGTCATATTCAATGTAGCCAAAACTAAAGTAAACAGGAATTTATCAGGAAAAGCAATGTGTGTTTCTGTTTTATACATCGGTACTACTTTACAGTCAATAGCTGTCACTATAGACCCATTGCAATGAGGTCACAAATCCTTAAAGAGTCCTCCAGATGCTCCCTAATAACATCTGTTCGGGTACAACAACCACATACAGCGCAAAAACTAACCATTGTAATACAAAATTATTTTTAAGTTTTACAAAATTTGCTTTGTTTACAAAAGTTATATTATGGATACATATTTGTCCTCTAGATGCATCATCACCGACGCTATATATGGGTCTATAGCTTTACTAAATCTTCAGTACGTGATACATAGAAAAAGTTGCGCAAGGAAACAACAGTGAGCTCTATATGGTTTAAGAATTTCAATCATTCGGGCGAAAATTGACGTCCAAAAGCTATGAATGTCGCAAACAGTTTCATATCATTTCCCCTAGCTACATGTAATTCTAGTTCTTTCTAACGAATCGTATAGCTAATCAAGTTATCAGTTCATAAAACTATCACATAGTTATGCTTTAAACCGAAGTCAAAACACGGAAATTTCCGCGCACTCCTCGCAGCTTCGTGTCAACCACGCAGACAAAAACAATAGAAAAGGGATTGTCGATGTCCGCCATCTTGGTTTTACTTTTTTCCACCAGAGTTCTCGCTCCAGTATGTATGGAGCTCAGGGCTGCAAATAAATATTTGACTTGACAGGACAGTTGTCCGATCACTTTTAATTTTGGTCGGACATAACTTGAATTTGGTCGGACAAAACCAACACCACTAAATTTGGTCGGACATATATACGTCACAAGATATATATAAGTCACGAGACAAGTATGTATAGCCATTCCGGCGCAACGTTAAGTAAAATGCTAGAATGCCTCGTACATTTTATTGCAAAATGCAAATTGAGTGAATTTGCAATCGGATTTTGTCACAGCAAAAAAATGTATAATGTGACAATTTTTTTTTGTGATCGGACCAATGTCCGATCAAAATTACTTTTACTCGGACATTTGCCAAATTTAGTCGGACATTGTCCCATGTCCGACAGTAATTTGCAGCCCTGGAGCTCACTGGGAAGAAATAGCCCAACTTACCCGCGAGATTCACCACTCTCTCGATCTGTCATAATCCTGATCTTGGAAGCACCATCAAAATGCTCGTACAATGTATCCTCGTTGGTGCCGAACGACAAATTCTTCACAAACAGCGTGTTTGACGGTGGGTTTTGTTCCCTATTAGGTGTGCGCTGCCCACCCCCGCGACCACCACCCCTGCCTCTACCTCTATCACCACCGCGAGTTCCACCTCCACTCGGTTTGTTTGCAATATTGATATTCAATTCTCGGCCGTAGAATTCCGTGCCCGAGAGTTTGAGGGCTTTGTCGTGGTCTTCCTGCGAGGCGAAGTCCACATAACCAAAGCTAAAGTATACAACAAGTCAACAACATATTATTAGCATAGCCTGCGAACAGGCTCTCAAGCTGAATTGAGAGCCTCCATCGATGACTAATGAATTTGAATATCTGCGTCTCAAATCGTGACGCGAAATTCTCATTGGTCAGATGCTATAATTTATATGTTTCCGTTGAGCTCTATATATGTCAACTGCTGAAGCACTATGCATAAAAAAACACATTAACTGATCAAATTGGTCTTGGCCATCTTATCTCAAAGCACGAAATAAATGTTCTGTTTTGAGAAAACAACATTTAAAACATTTAAACTTTTGCTTGAATATCTTATATTTCGAAAAACAGTATAAACTGTACGGTCTAAATTTAGTTTGCACGGTCTAAATTTAGTTTGCACGGTCTAAATTTAGTTTGCACGAAAGTTGTAAACAACACCATATAAGGATAGACATTCCATATTTGGAAAAACGAACGTTACGGGGCAGATATTCAAATTCATTAGTCATCGATGCAGGCTCTCAATCCAACTTGAGAGCCTGTTCGCAGGCTAATTATTAGCACTGATGAAGATCCGGGCTTACGGATCGAAAGCTTTGCAGTAATAAATTTACGTGGTGTTTCCACAAACAAAACTATTCTATTTTATCGCCATGCAAACATACAAAGAACTTTTAAGTTCTTGTTTGACTTAAAAGTCAACAAGGATTAAACAAGATTGATTACCAAGTAAGTAAAAACACAACAACAGGAGTAAATCACACAGGGATGTGCTAGATCTGGATATCGGTACATTTTGCCGGATAGTGCTGGAACTTCTTTTATAGAACCATGAAACTGAAAAATGTTCCCTTTGTCTTTTTTGTCTGTTAAGAAATTATGAAACAGGGACCTCCTCTCTGCCGTAAATTGCTCACTGAACTCTGTGCCACAGATATTTTATGCTTCTTGTGTCAATTAAGCACATTCTAAAACCATTGTCTATATTATGGGCGAAAATAGGGAAGTATTGTCCATGGAATTAATCAGTAATCTACTTTTGTACTCCTGTACTTATTACCCTAAGCGCAATTATTTATTGTAGGAACTCTCTACAAATCGTAAGGTCCTTATTTCGCTCTTAGATTATATATTCTAGAATATTTCGCTCTTAAAAGAAATACGCCATTACATAACACTCACCCCTTTGAATTGCCATCGGGTCGTGTTAATATCCTCGCACCAGTTGGAGTGAGACCGTTTTCTTCAAAAACATTCTTCAACTCGTCTTCAGTTGCATCAAAAGCAATATTTCCAACAAACACTGTGTGTTTTTCTGAAACAAAACTTTTAAGGTAAGCAAACTAAACAGTACTTTTAACACACTATTAATTTAAAAGCAAAAGAAACATGTATTTAATGACTAGAAAAGTTAAAATCACACCTCCAGATTCGTCATCAGTTTTGGCTTTCTTCGCTGAGCTGTTATTGTTATCATCATCAGCCGTCTTCCTTTTCTTTGCTTTCTCTTTCTGCTTCTTTTTAGTTTCTTCATCTTCTGAAGATTTGTCTGAATCACTGCCATCTTGATTTTCTTCCTCATCCGAACTGGAGTCCTCGTCAGAATCGTCTTCATCAGAGCTGTCTTGTTTCGCTTTGGCCGTTGGTGTTGTTGTTTTCCCAGCTTTCATCGGCACTTTGCTTTCTTCGTCTTCAGAATCTGAACTATCGTCGCTCGACGATTCCTCCTTCGCTTTTTCTACGGGAATGGAAGAGAAACAGGTTCAAGCAATAAAACATTGGAGAAACGTATCATCATCATAAACACTAAGTATTTTTATAAAATATAATTATACAGTATAAATTAATGGAGACTCCGAATATTTTCATCTTTATATTATAAAAGTTCACGGTGCGATAATTCGCGTACTTATCACCCTGGTTCGTACATGTGAGGAAGAGTTACATTCAAAGACATGTATCAGCAAATTCAAGGACTGAATACTGACGAAAAGGGGTTAGAAATCAGTAAAATCTGACGTTGAATTGTTCAAAACGCAACTTTAATGAGTTTCAAACAGCTTTGTCAGGTATGAACATGCAAAATCAATTCAACAAAATGTTCGTTTTGAATGTCAAACAATTTCAGAAAATATCCAAGAACTAACGCAAGAAACATTTAAGGACATTCAAGGACTTTCAAGTTCCGTACGAACCCAGACTTATATACTGGAGGTACGCCATTATTACGGTCTGGTACTTATTTTTTTAGCCACGTACCATGCACGTAGGTACGCGGAAATCTTGCTATCTGCGTACTTACTTTTTGCCGGTACCATTACTAAAGTGCTCTGACCAACTGAGCTGTAGAGTTGTATTTATACTAAGATGCTGCCATAGTAAGGTATATATTGGGTATATAATACTCTTTTACCGTTTTTTTCATATCTTGTTTACTTCTACAAATATTTTGATTGAAAGGAATGAAATGTCCGCCATCTTCAATTTTTGTAGATATGCATATCACGTCACAACAGGGGTCATGCAACATTTTTTATCTAGACAAACACTAATTATTTTGCACTCAAAACTATACTCTGTTTGCCCTTCGAAATATAAAGATCACTCAAAACATCTACCAATCAATATTTGGTTAGCAACAAATACTTTTAAATGGTTAATCCCGTTATGACGTCACCAAAGCTACCATTAATGAGATCAAAAATTTATCCAAGATGGCAGACATCTCATTACTTCAAGTTAAAATATTTCAAGAACTAAGCAAGATACGAAACATTGGTAAAAGAAGTTGATTCATAGTTTCAAAAGTTCTTTCAAATGAGAAACTAAAAATTTATATTGTCATTTCCCTTTAAGCAATATGTATTAAATTCAACTTACCTTTTGCAGTGGGTGCCTTGGCCTTTTCCTTCTTTCCTGCAGGCTCCTTTACAGTCTTCTGTTCCTCTTCATCAGATGAATCGTCACTGGAGGATTCCTTACCTTTTGCTGCCGGTGCTTTGGTTGCTGCGGGTGCTTTGGCCTTCGCTTTTTCCTTCTTTCCTGCAGGCTCCTTTGCAGTCTTCTGCTCCTCTTCATCAGATGAATCATCACTGGAAGAGTCATCCTTCTTCACTTCCTTTTTAGCCGCAGGTGTCAGGGCCTTGGTTGCTGCAACTGCCTTGGTTGGTTTCTTTGCGGCAGGAGCTTCCTCATCAGATGAGTCGCTGTCCTCACTTGATGATTCTTTTTTCGCTTGCTTTTGCTGTTTTGGAGTGGTTTTGGCTTGAGCTGCTTTTGGAGTGGTTTTGGCTTGAGCTGCTTTTGGGGTGGTTTTTGATTGCTGTTTAGGTGGTGCTTTCTCATCATCATCATCTGACGAAGACTCACCGTCACTAGACGATTCTTTTTTTGTCGGTTGCTTCTCCGCTTTTGGTGTGGCAGTCTTTTTTCCATCATTGCCAGGGGTTGCTGCTTTCCCTGGTTTCTTTACTTTCCCCGAATCTTTAGGAGTTGGAACCTTGCTTGCTTTCTTTTCATCTTCAGATGAATCACTACTGTCGCTTGACGATTCTTTTGCCTTCTGGGGAGGGGTTTTCGTTTGAGTCTTGGTTTGTGCTGTTTGTTTCGGTTTCGCCTGTGTTTCTTCTTCCGAGTCGGAATCACTAGAGGAAGACTTGTCTTGCACGCTCATCAATTTCAATGCATCTGGCTTATTCACAGTATTCTGTTTTTTAGGTTTTTCATCTTCTGAAGAGTCAGCGGAGTCTTGATCGACCTCCATTGGCAATTCCTTTTCTTTCTTGTTTTTCTTCTCCTTGCCATTTACAGCAACAGTTTCCTTTTAAAGTACAAGTATGGGGATATAAATATTTAAAACTTCTACAAACTTCTAGGTATGGATGTGCTATTTTCCGCTGGCTGAGGTACGAAAGAAGCGGAAAATGTTTTCTCACACACTGCTGGAGGGCCAATAGAAATCGGGTGTTATTGGGTGTCCCACCTGCACACCCTTTGTTATTAAAGAAAAGTTATGCATCAGCATAGAACTCTGTATTCCAATGTCACATAGTTAACCTACCTTTTCCTTCTTTGTCTTTTTCTTGTCCTTTTTCACTTTCTCTTTTTTCTTTCCTTCGACTGCGGCACCATTCTCTATTTTTTTCTGTTTCTTTGCAACAATGACATCATCATCCATGGTATTCTTTCTTTTCTTGAGCTCAACATCACCTTCTGAACCACTTTTGCACTTCTAAATATATTTTGTAAATATTAAACCAAGCCAAAACAAGCCTATGTCGGGAGAGTTGGCAGATCTGATGTGGCCTGGAAGCAAGCACAAAAGTTTTCAAGCAAAATTTTCATGACCAGCTCTTCAAAAAACTAATTTATACTTCAGTGTGCACTGTATAGCTAGCTTTGCTTATATATTCACAGTATGTATCTTTCGCTTTTCAACAATATAATTATAGCAGTATTACTGTACCAGACATACTGTCTGCTGAGAGCTGAGAAAAGCATTTTGCCAGACATTTGCCCTTTTGGTGTCGGACAGTGTCCGGCTGCTTATTTTCAGGCTTGAGCCAAAATAACTTTACTTATACTGGATAGCTCTACACATTCTGTTTAAACTGTTCTATCATCTTGCTATAGTGTTACAACAAAAATAAGCTGGTAAAGAAAATCTGTAGTTGACACGGTCTAAGGTTGAAGTGGAAAACCGGCTTTAGCCTTCAACAGGTGTATACAAATGATTCTAAAGGATGCTAAACTGAAGTAGGTGGTATGAAAACTGAGATTATCCATGCTATGTTACAAATGGAGAATATGAATATTTATTATATACACAAGGTCTGGATATGAGGTATTCTGCAACCTGATTGGTTCTCTACTAGCAGGATATATTTAGCTCATATCCTGCTAGTAGAGAAAAACAAAATGGCGGCTGAAACTGAATTTCCGACATTTTGCGAATGAGAAAATGGCAAGTTGTTCGCTTTTTACAGCTTTTACAAGATTACAACACAAAAAAAAACTCCCACAAATTATTTACAGGTTAGAGCAAATGAATTTTTAAAATTTTTTAAATTTTAAAAATTCATTCATTCCAACTTCAACCAAAGTTTTAGTATTCCCCCTGTCCCCTGAGAATTCAGTATCCAACTTCTGGATACTGGTTACCATAAGTATATACTGACCCATCCAAATAAGTTTCCATAAAAAAATAGAAAAAAAAAAAGCGAAGTCAGACAAAACACACTCCGTGCGAAGTCAGACAAAGCACACACGCAGTGCTTTTACTGTATACGCTAACGGCAACTACTGCAAATAAAAGTTTTTATATTACTGCAAAATAAATACAAAGTGACTGCCGGCTATCTAGAAGGGTTCGAGATTGGCGGTACCCTAGTATCCTTGACGATATGTTAAAACCAGATGTTAAAACCTTGGTAACTGGATACCAGGAAATTCTTGCCCAAATATCAATTGTTGAACATTACTTATAAACTTTATCAAATGGAATCATAAATATATACATAATTTTACAGATAATGTTTGAAACGCTCATAAACTTTGAGCAGTGAACACTAAAATATATATTACTGAGAGCCTGAAACACCCGCAAATTCACCTGAAATTGGCGGGTGTTTTCATTGTCAGGCTACATTTCCACTTCCGCATTCTTCTCTGTTTTGATCTCGAAGCACATGTTCGAATACCAAATTTAAAGTGACAATAAATTTACAATCAGACTTTGGAGGATTTCATATTAAGCTATTTTAGTTATTACAGCAAAATTGTTTGGTGAAGAACACTAGAACAGAGGAAATTTATAATAATATGTTTATATATGTGGTTAAGGACTTAAGGTTAGGGATATACTTACAAATAATGCATATCTATTGTACATTGTAACCTACTATATCAATGTTCTCTGTACCCTGTAGTGAACTAAAAGTAAAGAATACCTAATGGCTTGTGTGTATATATGTGTTTCGAAGTTTTCAACATTCGATATCATGATTCTACCATATTCTTATATTTGGATATCGATTTTTGAATTTCGATACCAAGTTTGAAATGCCGGTATCCATAATGGATGTACTAGTAAAAAATTCCAATCTCGAACCCTGTATCTAGTGACTCTGATTTTAATTTGTAACAATGAGAGCATTGTTACAAATTAAAATCAAAGTCACTAGACAGCCGGCAGTCACTTCGTATTTATTTTGTAGTAATATAAAAACTTTTATTTTTTTAGTAGTTGCCGTTAGCGTATGCAGTAAAGGCGCTGCATGTGTGTTTTGTGTGACTTAGCACAGAGTGTGTTTTGTCTGACTTAGCATTATTTTTCTTTAAATTTTTTACATTTTTCTTCTACCTTTTGTAACTCTCAAAAGGTTAGGGTCTTGGCAATAGGGTTTAGCCTGCTTCACATATACCTGTGGTATGTCGGCGGGCTACTGTGAACTATTTGGTTGAACTGCTATTAATGACAAAAGAATGTATGAATCAACAGCTGTAAACAATGATAGCGCAGGCATACCGCAGGCATATGTGAACCAGGCTTTAGAGAAGTTTTGGGATTGGTTTATCTTTCAACTTAAAAATTCAACTTTAACTAATAACTATAGTCACTATATAGCCGCAGGGCTAGAAAAGTTCCAAAAGTTCCTGATCATGGTGATCGGCAGTTTGCTTTTTGAGGTTGGAAACCCTGCTTTTCCACCGATCATAATAAATTTCTTGCCAATCTTTGACCAGCTGTTATTTCAAGCTCTGAGCTGGCAGTTTACTAAATAGCTGGCTGTATAGGAGGGTGTTGATGGGGTATACGGTGAGTCGTGATTCACTCAATTTCGGTTACCGTTAGTCATGAAAACACTAAAAATTTAGCGCGAAGCACGAGTAAAAAATACTGTTTATCGTTTCAGAACACTTTTCAAAGATTTACCGTTAAAATACCAAAATGGGTCGTTCCAGAAAAGATCCATACTCCCCCCACGGAGGAAATTTCTGGGGAGGGGAGAAAAAATTGTTTCTGATAATAATAAATGTATTAGGACATCCGAAGGGGGGTTAACTTCCTATTTCCTCTGTGGGGGTGGTATGGATGTTTTCTGGAATGACCCAATCTTACTTATTGTTTATACCGTTAAAATACGAAAATTTTTACCGTTTACTGATTCTCAGATTCCCCCATCTAGTCACTTCGATTAAAATATTGTAAAACAGGAGACAGTTCAACAGTCAAAAACTAGACAATTATTTAATACACTAGAATACGCATAAACCTTCAACAAATGCCTACACGCTACTTCTCAACGTGGAAAAGCTGGTGGCAAACTCATAGTATTCCAAAGCTATCAGGAGATCAGACCATGATCAAGGGCGCCTAACATTTTCCTATAAATTTGAAATTTTCTTAGCATTTATTCACTTCGAGAATCCTTGTCAATACAAATATGTCCAAGTTTTACATTCAGCAGAAATCGACGAATAAATACCCTAGTTTACGTATCGAACAAAAAGGAAGATTGTTTATAAAAGATCAAGTACACAAGGTCTCAGGTCCGACCATAAACACCGACCATTTTTTCCCATCAAAACGCTATTTTCGCATTCTATATAGAAATCGGGTTAACACAGTGATAGACCTACCTTCTTACTAGTTTTATCCTTGCCCATTTTATTTAGAAACGTTAAAAAAGGCAATTTTTTACTCCAGCACGTGTTTTAGTACTCTTTCTCAATCTTTGAACGCGTGATAAAAGGAACGTGCGAGCCAGCGCGATCACATTTGAGTTGGTCAGTGAGTATTCTGCAATACTCCATGTAACCAAAAGGAAGGGTTGTCGAGTGGTACGTCGCTCTCAGGGTAGCCTTCATTGCAGGCGGTCCCTAAAATCGTGCAAGCATGACTGCCATGCAGGCTACTAGCAGGGGTGCCTGTGGATGGTCACACACCCCACAAAACATCTTTTCAGCAAAATAACGGACTTGTCGGCAAATTATTCTCGTACACACGTAAAAACGCACAAGTTGTAACAAACCTGCAGCAGACTTGTAGCAATGCTGTTCCAACAACTTGTCCTGACAGGATGTGTTCACACTGCTTGTTCCCAGCTTGTTAACAAGTTGTCAACGGCTTGTTGACATCTTAACAACAAGGTTGTTGAGTTCAACAGACTTGTTACAAGTTGTTCCAACTAAACTTGTTATCGTCCAGCCATTCAACAATTTGTCAACAAGTTGTGAGTGACAAGCTTGCACTTGTAGCAACTTGCTAAAATATATAACAGCATTGTTACAACTTGTTGACAAGCTTGCTACAAGCCTGTTGCGAACACATCTTGTTGACAAGTTGTGAGATTTTTACGTGTGTAGTTCGCATTTGCAAAAATGTTTGAGCCACAAACCGCCTTGGCTATGTGGTATACCGAAATCCGGTATCCTTTATAACCACAAACCGGCGTAGGCCATAAGGAAATAAGGAATACTGAATTCCGCTAGGCGCTATCCTAATTTGTAGCCACAAACCGCCGTATCTATAAGGTTTCCCTAAATCCGCTATCCTTTGTAGCCACAAACCAACGTGAAGGGCCGTCCCAGGAAATTTTTCAGGGGGTGGGGGGTGTAACGTGATTTCAACCAACTGACGAACGATCGAGCTTGTACCGACCACATGCTAGCCATGGAAGCTAAAAAGCATATCAGATTTCACTATACTTTTTAGCCACGCCGATCTGTGGCTAAAAAGTATATCAGATTTCACTATACTTTTTAGCCACGGTGGTCTGTGGCTAAAAGCATATCAGATTTCACTATACTTTTTAGCCACGGCGCTCTGTGGCTAAAAAGTACATCAGATTTCAATATACTTTCAGTTAGCCAGGGCGCTCTGTGGCTAAAAAGCATATCAGATAATTTCACTATACTTTTTAGCCACGGCGCTCTGTGGCTAAAAAGTATACCAGATTTCATTATACTTTTTAGCTACGGCGCTCTGTGGCCAAAAAGTATACCGGATTTCAGTATACTTTTTAGCCACGGCGATCTGTGGCTAAAAAGCATATCAGATTTTACTATAGTTTTTAGCCACGGCGCTCTGTGGCTAAAAAGTATACCAGATTTCAGTATACTTTTTAGCCACGGTGGTCTGTGGCTAAAAGCATATCAGATTTCAGTATACTTTTTAGCCACGGTGGTCTGTGGCTAAAAGCATATCATATTTCACTATACTTTTTAGCCACGGCGCTCTGTGGCTAAAAAGTATACCTGGTTTCAGTATACTTTTTAGCCACGGCGATCTGTGGCTAAAAAGCATATCAGATTTCACTATACTTTTTAGCCACGGCGCTCTGTGGCTAAAAAGTATACCAGATTTCGGTATACTTTTTAGCCACGGCGCTCTGTGGCTAAAAAGTATACCTGATTTCAGTATACTTTTTAGCCACGGCGCTCTGTGGCTAAAAAGTATACCTGATTTCAGTATACTTTTTAGCCACGGCGATCTGTGGCTGATAAGCATATCAGATTTCACTATACTTTTTAGGCACGGCGCTCTGTGGCTAAAAAGTATACCAGGTTTCAGTATACTTTTTAGCCACGGCGGTCTGTGGCTAAAAAGTATACCAGATTTTAGTATACTTTTTAGCCACGGCGATCTGTGGCTAAGAAGCATATCAGATTTCACTATACTTTTTAGCTACGGCGCTCTGTGGCCAAAAAGTATACCGGATTTCAGTATACTTTTTAGCCACGGCGATCTGTGGCTAAAAAGCATATCAAATTTCACTATATACTTTTTTAGCCACGGCGCTCTGTGGCTAAAAATATACTAGATTTCAGTATACTTTTTAGCCACGGCGATGTGTGGCTAAAAAGTATACCAGATTTCAGTATACTTTTTAGCCACGGTGGTCTGTGACTAAAAGCATATCAGATTTCAGTATACTTTTTAGCCACGGCGCTCTGTGGCTAAAAAGTATACCAGATTTCAGTATACTTTTTAGCCACGGTGGTCTGTGGCTAAAAGCATATCGGATTTCAGTATACTTTTTAGCCACGGCGGTCTGTGGTTAAAAAGTATACCAGATTTCACTACACTTTTAGCCACGGCGGTCTGTGGCTAAAAAGTACATCAGATTTCAATATAATTTCAAAGCTAGTCAGTGCCTTTTTTGGAAAAAGGTGGCGTTTTTTGAAGTTTTGCAAAAGTAATCTATGACATCGTATAAGAGCCGGTATGAAATGTTGTTTTAAGTTTATATACCATGCACGATTTAGAGTGGCTTTATTATATATGGCACTCAGTTGTAACACTGTTACAAGTGTTACACAGTGTTAAACAATGTTATATATTCTTACATAGTGTTCCAATGCTACATAGCTAGTGTTACATAGTGTTAGATAGTGTTACACATTGTCACATAGTGTTCCACAGTGCTACATAGTGTTACAGAGTGTTGACAGTGTTACATAGTGTTACATAGTGTTACATAGTGTTACATAGTATTACATAGTGTTACTGTCTGTTACATAGTGTTGCATAGTGTTGCACATACTAACCCTATCCCTAACCCTATCCCTAATCCTAACCCTAACCCCACCCCTAACCCCACCCCTACCCTAAACCCTAATTAAAGATAGTGTAACACTTGTAAGTTGTAACACTGTTACCCGAGTAAATACTTGATAACGCACTATAAATCATGCATCATATATATGTAAGTTTAGGAATTAAATCTAAAGACAGTATTTACTATAGAAATTGAACTTCTCAATTGTTATAACCTGCGAATATGTTAGTAGACCTTAGTGGGGAAAATAGCAATTGCCTAGTAAAAGAAATGTCTGAGATTTTATGTAAATATGTCATCCGATATGACGTGTCGTCGGTGTCGACGTAACCTGAAGTTCAGGCCCTAATTTGAAATAGGGCCTGACACAAAACCTGTCTAGACCGTGGGACGCCCACATGTTATTTTTAGACACACATGCAATATGATTGACAAGTGTTGTAGATTTCGTTACACAAAAAAATTATATTCGCATGAACATGTCCGCAGAGCATTTTGCTTTTTAATTAAACTTAAAAATTCAAGGTACTTTTATATAATTAAGAGTCAGTTTCTCTATTTAACCGAACAGGCGAACAGCAAACAAAGATTTAATTAGTCAGTTCTGTGCACGGCTTGACTGCCAAGCTTTCTCAAGGTCTCAACTTGCTGGACGCGGATATACTCTAACGACTAACGGGCTAATAACAGCAACAATTAAATTCTCAATCATACCACGAAGAAGGCGATGTAGCTCAGAAAACAACGCCGGTAGGACCTGATATTAGAAATAAGACTTTTGCCGGCGAAGCAATTTGGCAGAACATCTTGGCTGTCAACAACAAGCTTTCGAATACATGACTAGTTTGGCTGTTCTTTCAGCGTCGTGTGTATCCAAAATTCGTCAAAGATTTTGATGAAGCCCTTTCAAAATACTGTTTGTTTGATTTATTTTCTGCCATAAAGCATAAAAGAAAAGAAATTCGAAGAAATCGATAACGGAATTTGTTACGTGCGTTTGACCTTTATATTAATTCTCGCCTTGACTTGACCGAGCTATTTTTAAAACTGTTGTTTATGTGAACTTGCAACCAATCAAAATCCTTCATGATGCTGATCAACCAATCAGATTTCCCGTCCACCAGGTGGACGGGAATCCCACACTTTAGATAGGTTTTGTGTCAGGCCCTATTCTGTGATAGGGCCTGAACTTCAGGTTAGTGTCGACGCAGCTGCCCACACCAGCAGAGGGCTCAATCGACCTTCGAGTGACCAAATTCAATCTTTATGTTTATTTTTTTATTTATTTTCCTCTCAGAACAGACAGAAAGGATTTATTTTCAGAGTTTTCTGGTAGCCTTTAATCCCGCTGGTTTGAAAGCTTTGCTGTGATATGCCACTGATGGTAGACCTAGACGATCACAGCTTAGAGGTAGGCTGAATTGAATGGCCACAAAGCCGGCGAAATCGCGACTCGAAAATATCTATTTATATGACATGTTTATATTATAACGTTTGTTACTTTGTGAATGTTCTAATTCGGATCTAGAAAATCTCAAACGTTCTAATTGTTTAGTGTGTTATTTAGAAGCATTTTGTTACATGTTAGAAGGTATAAATACATATATATTTTATCATCTGTCACACGTATATTTAGGCATTTCGCTTTATTTTGTATTTGAGGTTTAGCGGTTTGCAATTAAATTCAATTAAGGCTACTTATTGTTCGTTCTTTAAAAGCCTTAAACTGTCAGGGGCCTATTAAACATTAATCCTTGGGATTTGTAATTTGATTTTTTTTTGCTAATTTTGTGGCAAATCATTTTGGAAATTTTAAACTTTAACTTTTTTTTGGAAAACGCTTTTAAAACTCAGTGATATTTACCAATATTGTAAAAGGCTTTTATATGATAATTAAAGCATGTATTGTTGTGATGCGTGATTAAACTACTTAAGTATTGGATCATTCCAGAAAATATCCATAGCTCCCCGACAAAGGAAATTGGAAGTTGATCCCGCTATCCCTTTGGAATGTTTCTTCCCCCCCTGCCATAGGGGAGGGAGTGTTGATCTTTTCTGGAATGACCCATTGTCCAGATTTATACTAGAGATAGATCGCCTCTCAAAACATCAATATTATCGATTTGATAATAGATATCATCCACTGAGCATAGAAGTCCTGAATAATTTTAAATAATATGATGTACAAGATAATTATGATTCTAAACTTAGTTAAAAAGTTCATGTAGGAACATGTGTAATAAATCGTTGTTAACCCTTTAAGTGGCAATGCGCCCAGGTGCGGCCTACTTTATTATTTTACTCTGTCTAACGCCAGATGATTTTACTCGTCAGGGGGAGAGTGCTGTCACTCAATGGGTTAATCAGACTATCTGCCCATGCACCCTGTTAACTCTTTTAGCAGCAATTCGTCCAGATGTGCCCAGGGGAGAGTGTTACCACTCAATGGGTTCATTTTTCCATTCTGCGGAGGGGGAATAGTTCATGTAATTAATATCAGAGGGCAGGTAGGGTAGCAAAAGGTGATTACATAGGGGGGATGAGGTGTAAAAAATAGCCCAAAATTTGATGTAAGTAATTGTTGAATGGCCCTTATAAATGGCAATGGTATGGAGAACAACTTATACCTTAACAGTAATATTTTCCTCATACTTCACCAATGTCATATTTACACTCATAAACTATTGAGACATTAAATTAGATACTCATAGATAGATAGAATTTAATTCACCACACAACAAAACATACAGTAAAGTACAGAAATAACAAAAGAAATGTCTAAAAGGTGGCGAGGATGCCCAACTGGAAATTAGGTATGGACAGATTTTTGGGGGGAATGAAAGGGGTGCACACACCCCTAAATATACACTCCCTCTCGCTCATTTCCCCCCCCTGAATTTTTGGCATCCCCCCTGAATTTTTGGCATCCCCCCAGAGCAAAATCTGAAAATCTGTCTATGCTTGTAAGTTTGTTAGTATAAAGCAACAATGCAGGCAGTATAACCAGAGTATGCCACTACAGTGAAAATGTGTATGTTAATTAGAACTATCTGCCCCATATAGGTTACTACAGGATAGCCCCTGTTGCCTTCCAGTGACACCATAATGGTATTGTCTTACTAAATCTTACCAAATTCTATATAGAATGGTGAACTGGCAGAACAAGAGGAAAAACAGACAGAATACCAGCTACTTAAGGAAAGTGGAGGTAAACTGCATATAGTTACCTTAACATATTGGTAATATACAGGGGTAACTGTTCCCCTGGGTAAATTACCAAGTTGGGCTGTCAATGGGTTGCTCGGTCAATTGGTCAGTTGGTCAATCAGCTAGTCAGTCGAGTTATTCGGTCGGTTGGACAGTCTAGTCAGTTAGTCAAACAATTGGTAGGCTGGTTGGTTGGTCAAGTCAGGCAGCCCTCAAAACCACCATTGTTTTATCTATTGGTTGGTTAGTAAGTTGGTTTATCAGCCAATTTTTATGCAAAGTGCCCTTTTTGTACAAGCTAATGTTGCTAATTTGTTCAAAGTGCCCCCCCCCCAATCTTTTAATGCTTCCTATGCCCCTGAGGCCAACCCAGCCAGCAAGTCAGTCCAATGTGTGATGGTTTTCAATAAGATATATTAAACAGTTCCTAATGCTGTTATATTTCCACTTCTCAGTTTTCAAAAATCCCAAAGTAAGACGAGAATTGTTGCCGAAAACGAGAGAGAAATCATCGATTAGGAATCTCTTCAGTTTTTTGAAGACAGTTATTGGTAAAGATTTAACGAAAGTCACGATGCCCGTCTATTTCAATGAACCAATATCATTTCTACAGGTAAGTTCTGCCACTTCTCTCAGAAATATTTTATACACACAGCGCAGGCCCTTCGTCAGAAGTTAGTGACTATATAACAGAGGTGTGCATCAGATCGGATTGGACGTTTATAATCCGACAATTGTCTAATGTTTAAAATCCGATCCGAAATTGTCTAATCCAAATCCGATCCGAGTTTTGATAAAGAATTCCAATCCGATCCGATCCGAAGAATTCTTTAATTAATAAAATAAATTTCTCATTCAAGTTGAAATATTTAACCAAATAAATATAAAAGCAAGAAATACATGTCAAGAAGCTGACAAAGTAACGTCCAATTGAAGTATCAAACGAATAATGCAGCGACAACCGCGATTTAACAAATATAAAACATTTTCCGTGTTGATATACAGTTATATCAACACGAGTGGAAATTGGGAAAACGAGAAATTGTGTGGAAACACGACGCCCGAAGGGCGGAGTGTTTTCACACAATTTCAAGTTTTCCCAACTTCCACGAGTGTTGATATAACTATATATCAATACGGAAAAAATGTTTTATATTTGTTTTATAATATAGCAATGTCAAAAGCCCGAAGAATAAGAAAAATTTCCGTGTTACAAGCGGCGGAAAATTTCCCGTGTTGACATGGAGTTATATCAACACGGCTCTTAGCCAATCAGCGTTCAGAATTTACAAATGCTATATTATAAAATGCTTTCATAAATGCATGGATAATAATTAATTCTTGCGATAATGCGTGGATAATTAATTCATTTTATTTCGGATATCGAAGTCCGATCCGATCCGACTACGAAACAACTTTATCAATCCGATCCGAAATGAATATTTTGTTTCCGAAATCCGAATGGATTGGATTCGGATCGGTTTCGGATCGGATTTGCACACCTCTACTATATAGTATTGAATGGGTGATTCCAGCTATACCTATACTATAGATTTAATTTTGATCAACCAAGAAGAACGAAATCCAACACCACAGCTAGAAAGAGCGTCTTAGAATGAGTAAAACTGCAAAGATTGGTTGCTAAATGTTGTAAAATGAAGAAAATAAAGCTCTGTGAAGTTCGCAAATTTTGTATATATTTGTATTACGTGCGCGGTTAGAATAACCACTTTCGGCTTAAAAAATGGTCATTTTTCCCGCGTGTATATGCAAATATATACAAAATTTGCGAACTTCACAGGGCTATATTTTCCTCATTTTACAACAATTCGCAACCAAACTTTGCAATTTTACTCATTTTAAGATGCTCTTTCCAGCTAGGGTAATGGTTTTCGTTCTCCTTGTCTAGATCAAAATTCCGTCTATACCTGGAATCATACATCACAGACACAGTCAACAGGTTTTCGTTGACAAGTGTCCCTTGACAACATTTGTTTCTCGTGTGTTGTTAAACATTTATCTAACGTGAAGGCCGCATTTTGTTTGACAAAACCATAGAAGTATTACTTGTACACGTCAAGGTTTTCTTGAAAATTTTTGCTGTACACATGAGCAAATAAAACTTGCTCGTCTGTACATACGGGGCTTAAATCGTTTTAGTTATAAAGAAATCACAGTTCACAACAATGTACACGGTATAAAATTATCATTGTTGACGAGTGTAAGATCCCGGCGTCATTTCATTGGAACAGACATTGCCGCTATATTCACTGACCGCAAATTCTATATTCTCGTCAGTGGCGGCGCCACGGGGAGGACTGGGGAGGACACGTCCCCCCCAGTTCTCTTCAAGGTCAATTTTCTAATTTGTCCAAATCCGGTGAGAAAATTTGGGGGGGGGGGTACGTTTGTGACATCAGTCCAGTTATTTAGATCTAACTTAATAAATTCAGTCTTTGTTGTGTGAATAAAAACCGGTATTAAAAGATCTTCGCTTTACTTTTGACAAAAGACCGTTTCATATATGCGGTATTTACCATTAGAATATTGCAGGCACTGATTACGACCGCCGAAGGAAACCCATCATAATGGGTTAACATATTACCCAAATTAAGTGCAAGGGGTAATGTGTGATGCGGAAGTTTGGTCCTGCTGCTGAGATGTGAGGGAGATATGTTAATTAATTAATGCACCGTTCGCGCAACATATGGTCATTAGCTTCTTGGAACGCATCACTACACAACTGAAAGAGAAAAATGTTTGAAGGAAGAGATCCATCAAGTGAAATTGTGTGTGAGGGAGGCAAATAGAACCTTCGTTTTCGAATCTTGACGGTTAGACCTATTTTAGATTTTTCAACATCGGAAATATCGATGAGAAAGTTTACATTCCAAAAGAAATGGTACGAAGAGTACATATGACTGGAATATTCAATGTAACAACTGGAAGATTACATACGAGCATCATAGCAGCGAAGAGAAGGAAAGGAAAGAGTCTAGAGAAAGGGTCCAAAAGAAAGTTTCCACCTTGGATTTGCTTGCCCTCCTTGTTCGAAGTTTTCAGCAAAGATGATCTGCACCACCTTTACCCGACCTGTTTGAGGTCGCTACCTTGCCTGTGACAGTACAGTGGCATCATGTGAACGCACACACAGCAAGGTCAAAATAATAAACAATGATTTGCGAGTTGCTATGTCACCTGATAGACTCGAGGACCTTGTCCAGATTAGCAACGAACGAGATCTAGCCAACAATATTGAACTTACCAAATTAGTGGAAATATTTAAGCTTGCAAAACCTCATAAGCTTGTCATGCAAGGAGATCTACGATAACATATAGCCATTATTATTCTACCTAACAGTTATTTCCATTTGTATTTAAATATAAAATTATGTTGACTTCAATTTTCCTGGAAGTAGAAATTCCTTTCGGCAGCTGTCAATCAATGTAATCATAGTCAATAACATAAGAAGGTTAGGGAACTCGATGCAGACATAATAGACCTATCTATGATTTTGTCTTGGTTTATGCAAAAAAAAATGGTCGATTCATCGTCATGTGTGTATTGTATGCTAGAGTAACCAATAGTTATGTTTTTGTTTAGCCATTGTGTAATATTACGACCGGGTAATTAAACCAGCACACTGCTATTGGTAACTAATAATACACTCATGACGATGAACCGATCGTTCCTTGCATAAACCAGACAAAAACATAGATAATGAGGTCTTTTGCTGTTTGTCTGCATCGAGTTCCCTAACCTTATTCTATTGACTATGATGTAATACTGCATTTGTAGGTATTATATATACGTATAGTCATGAAAAAATCGTGTGTTTTGTTTACTTTATAATTTTCGGAATTCTGAATAATCTCACCCTGAAAATGCAGGAAATCGTATTTCAGGGACTCTAGATTTCAAAAATTTTCCGGGGAGGGCATGCCCCCGGACCCCCCTAGAAGTGTCTCGCGCCTTCACCGCTCGAAAATCCACCCCACTTTTAAAAGGCTGGCGCCGCCACTGATTCTCGTAAGTGGCGAAAATGAAAAGCGGGAAAAGTTGTAAAACTATACGGACGAGAAAAGAAAAGCGCACATGAAAGGCGCGAAACTGGTCGACAACCCAGCGGGCAAAATGACGTTTATCCAACGTTGAATCAACGTTGGAAATGACCTTCCAGACGTTGGATAGACGTTGAAAAAGGGTTGACTATGCAAATTGATCGCGTTACTGTTTCGACGTTGAAACAACGTTGAAATTAGGTTGCCAATCTCTTCAACCATAATTCAACGTTGAATCCACGTTAAAACAACGTTGAGATTGGTTCACAAATCGACGTCGTACATTTAACCATGAATGAACGTTAATTCAACGTCTGTTGGCTGCTGTTGAACCAATGTTTGTAAAACAACGTCAGAGCAACGTAGATATTAGGTTGTCGACGTCGCAACCTTTTTTCTACCAAATTTCAACGTTGAAACAACGTCGTGTGCCCGGTGGGAACTGGCTTTACGAGTTGACAAATTTAAATGTCGTGAAGTTCGCGAAAACGAAAAGAGCAAAAAATTTTATGCAGAAAACTACATGTCAACAAGTTGCAACAATGTTGTTATTCCATCAAGTTGCTACAAGGTTGTCACTCACAACTTGTTGACAAATTGTTGAATGGCTGGACGATATCAAGTTGTTGGAACAACTTGTAACAAGTCTGTTGGGCTCAACAATCTTGTAGCAAGTTGTCAACAAGCTAGTGGGAACAAGCAGTGCGAGCAAATCCTGTTGACAAGTTGTTGGAACAGCACTGCTACAGGTCTTCTGCAGGTTTGTTACAACTTATGCGTTTTTACGTGCGTGTACAACCGAGGCTAGGAGAAACGAAGGCGCGAAAAATCTTTTAAATCAATTGTCAGTCATGCAAAGGACACATGCAATGTAGAATGAACGATATATTTCTGTATTATATACTTGCAGAGGTTATGTGAAGATCTCCAATATGCTGATATATTGACCAAAGCGGCAGGTATATTTCCGCGTGTTTTCCTTAAGTTTTAAGATGTACCAAATCTGCGACGCGGACGCGACTAAAAATCAGTCGTTAATAATTGGAGACTAGTTTTACTTCGTTGTTCTCATGTCCCTGGCTTTGTTTACCAACAACAATCCATAGTTTTTACCCGTGAAGTGAAACTGCGATAGTAGAGGCAGTTTTTCGTCACGTCCGCGTCGTAGATTCGGTGTATCTTATAAAGCTCCCTAATATCTGTCAGTAAAACATGCGTGTATTTATTTCTGGGGTGCCTGTTTATTGAAGACGGCGTTATGTGTTTGTAGAATGTGGAAATTCCGTGGAAAGACTTGCATACGTTGCTGCTTTTATGGTTTCTTCTTATTCAACTGTGCCAGGAAGGTATATGCTTTGAAACTGTAGACTACTAGACGTAGTCGTAGCTCTGCATCGCATCCACTCTGTGTAACGACGTTAATAATATACATGAAAAAATTTCTCAATTCTGACTGGCTAAGAGCAGTACAATTGTTTCGAAATACAGTGCCAAGAAATGAAATGAAATACAGTGCAAATTCCATTGACTGTAAGGTACAGCCATTTCTAGCAGAAAATAATACAAAAAATCCAAATAATTTACAAGTGATATGATAAAAATGGCTGGCGTTTTTACTTTTTAGTAGATTTTCTATTGAAAGTATTTATATTAAAATTAACTATTTCGCATGACTGCATTATTTTTTCATATATATATTAGTATTAACAAGTAACAGTATGGTTTCTCGTGCAATTTGGAAAAAAACATACACTCGTGAGTTTTTCAAAGACTTCAAATTGCACTCGTCCTTCGGACTCGTGCAATGGACCATTTGCATTATAGACTAAATTTTGATCTGGACAAAAATTTCATCACAGCTTGAAAGAGCATCGCAAAATTAGTAATATTCCAAAGTTTCGTTGCGAATTGTTGTAAAATGCGGATAATATAGCCTTGCGAAGTTTGCCGTTTTTCAGTCATTTTGTATTACGCACGTGGGAAATTGACAGCCCAATCGGGTGTTGGGGCATCAATTTCCCGTTTGTAATACAAAATGACTGAAAATTGCAAATTTCGCAAGGCTATATTTTTCGGCGTATTACAACATTTCGCAACGAAACTTTGGAATGTTACTAATTTTGTGATGCTCTTTCAAGCTGTACGTGATGAAATTTTTGTCTAAACCAAAATTTAGTCTATAATGCAAATGGTCCAATTGCACTCAAAACCATACTATTACCTATGCAAACCTGCATGAATGAAAAATGGAATCGTGTACTACTATAATCCATATTGTCTTTACGCGTTTTCTCCTCCTGTGTCTGTGTGTCAATCCAGTTCTTGCACTTTTTTGTAGATTTTGGAAACCGTTTAATCCGTTACTTGGAGAAACGTTTGAATATATTAACGAAGAACATGGGTATACCGTTGTTGCTGAACAGGTATACTGCGACGTAGATTATACTCTTATGTCTAAAAGTAAAGACCCGTGGAATTTTTCGGAAATATTTATTACCAAAACCGCGGATGCATCCTCTCATCCGAAAAAACGAGTCTTATTGCGTTCAGGAATGCGACTACATATTTTCTAGTCTGCTCGCAGACTGCATCCCGCTCCCCCCTGGTTCACGGGATAACACATATTTTCATGCTTTTCCAGAAATCGTGTTTTATTTTAAGAAATTTTGAAACAAAACGAACTGATCATCCAGAAATGCACAAAGCAGGTTAACTTTTAACCCAGAGGCCGGATTAGCGCTAACCCTGTGGGTTAAAAGTTAACACGCTATTTTGGTGTAGGTAAATCTTCTGTTCATTTCAAAACTTTGGAAGATAAAACCTCTATTGATCCAGACAAGAATTCTGAATTTTTGACACGAGAACGTGACATGTTTTTTGGGCGATGGAGAACATCCGCTGTTTTGGTAATAGCTGTCTATACTTGTACACTGATAATAGAATAAATTTATCATTATCAGGTTTCGCACCATCCACCTGTTTCAGCGTTCCACGCCGAATCACAAGACTGGGTATTTTGGCAAGAATATAAACTGGATACGAAATTCAGGGGACAGGTATACTATAACGGAACAAGCTTTACTTATACTGGGTAGCTTTTAGGGGTTGGAAATTTACAGTAAATTGTCGTCGTCGTCGTCGTCGTCGTCGTCGTCGTCGTCGTCGTTGTTGTTGTTGTTGTTGTTGTTGTTGTTGTTGTTGTTGTTGTTGTTGTTGTTGTTGTTGTTGTTGTTGTTGTTGTTGTTGTTGTTGTTGTTGTTGTTGTTGTTGTTGTTGTTGTTGTTGTTGTTGTTGTTGTCGTTGTTGTTGTTGTTGTTTGAAATGAGCGGGCATCTATGGCGACAGATATTTGCCAAAGGTAGCCCTTGTGGCGACTGAGAAAAAACTTAAAAAATAAAAATAAAGTAATTCTAATAATTCGGGTACAGGTTGCCGCAACACGAAAATAACGAAGTAAAACGTAACTTCGTAAAATGTCTTTGTTCCAACTTCCAAGTAAAAAGTACTCTGGAAAAATTACTCGTTACATGCCCACTTCTCAGAAATAAATTATACCCAAATACATCCCCCCCCCCATCCATTTTTAATGGTCCTATCCTAAATCGCGCGTTTTTTTTAATTCGTCTGTAGTATATCAAAGTGTGTCCTACTGGTATGGTCCATTTAAAGTTAAAGAAATCTGGTGATCATTTTAGTTGGAAGAAGCCACAAACTATAATACATAATATCGTGTTTGGAACGCTGTGGGCAGAACATGTAAGCACCTGCTTTGAGGATCCTAATTCTGCCTGGCTGAAAACGGAGCAGCCGGTCCGTTTAACTCGAACAGCCTTGTAACAAGTCTGATAATGCCATCAAGCTTCTGACAAGTTGTTACTTGTTAACAGCTTGTTCCAAACTTGTTACAACTAGGAACACAACTTGTTTGCACACCTGCATGTAACAGCTTGCGCGTTTTTACGTGTGTACATCAGTTCACACACTTTGATCAAACTGTATTTTGTCTAAAGAAAACAGTTAGAGAGTGCAAGCCAGTCATAATGTACACGATAAAAAATTAATGTATTTTTTTGTTAGGATGGCGAGGTTGTCATAACAAATCATCAAACGAATGAAATTTGTACTATTCACTTTCAAACTTATAAGAGAGTACGGGAAAACTATAAAATTGTCACAGGTTTGTCTGAAATTCTCAAAAATAATTGTCTTTGACTAAGATATGTAATAGGTTTGATTTTTATATTGACATTTGACTGCATTTTCCAGGGCAAATTCGGGATTCAAATGGTCATATATGTTTGTTATTGGATGGGAATTATGAAGATAAAATGGAGTACACGTCAGTCCAAAATGGTACGATCAAATACAATGTACAGTACATAATGGCTTTCAACCTCGTTTCTGGGCTCTGACCTCTTTGACCTCTTGTGGAGAAAAGACCCTGGTAGGAGCTGGTCACGTGATTTTAATGGATGATGATGATGATGAAAAATATTTATACTTTAATTTATAACTTGCATTTTATTTTGCAAGTTTGATTAAAGGAATCCAAGATAGTTGATTAGAAATCTGCTAGATTTTAGCAGATCACGTGACCAGCTCCTACAGGGTCTTTCCTCCACAAGAGGTAAGAACCTGGGAACGAGGTTGAATGGCTTCACCATCTATTTCTTTGAAACTTCTCACTTTTCTTTTTCTTCAGGTTTAAATTCAGATCCAATTTCATTATGGAAAGTGACACCGAAACCTGAAATAGCTCCACGGTAAGTGGTCGGATTTTTTTAGAGGTGCGCGCCGGCCTCCCCTCAGATTTTTGCAGCTTTTCTGAAAAGTCAGGCACCTTTCCCTCGGGAAACAGTAAAATTATAATTACCCTTTTAATGCCAATTCCCATTAGTCATACAGCATTCATATGGCATTCATACGAGGCTTCGGCAGCTTTTTCTTTGCGATAACCTCTAGTTTAAAATTATTTTTAATTCCTGTGTTTTCAATTTGTATGTTTTCTTTAATATCTTCAGAATGTACGGTTTTACGACATTTACGATGCATTTGAATGAACCCAACGAAGGTAAGAGTTAGAGCTTTCAGTAAGTAGGTAACGTGCATTGGTAGTAATTGGAAAGTAAAATTTATTTTGTGCAATTCAGAAATTGATAGAGCAAAAATTACTGCATGCATGGCCAGAAATCATGGTCATGATTTTTTTACTTCCTTCGTGATTTGCATATCACTTTGAAATATAGCTTCAACCGTAAACAGTGAATTATATAACGCGACGTTGTTAATCGAATTAAATCTGAGAATAAAGTAGGTCGTTTGCAACTTGCCTCAACCGCTGGCCGCAAACTACAAAGTCTGCAGTCGAAGTATTGAATGTAATGTAGGCCTGATTTCAGTTACTGCCTATTCTGCGTTTTCAATATTTGTACACTAGAGGTTAGTTTTTACGACATTTGTCTATTTAACTCTATATGCATGAGAATATGCAGTAAGGCACTCTTCTTTTTTTTTTTTGATTACGGATATCCCGACCTTGTATTTTTAAAAAGCAGAAAAAGATAAAAATGCCGCTTATCAGTTTTGATGTGTTGGGTTTTTTTTCCATCCGACCATATTTTAGAAAGTATTAGTATTTATTTTCCCAGCAAGACACCTAAAAATATAAACTAAATGTGCGAGAATAAAGTCAGGCTGACGTGCAGGCAATTGTCACGCATAATCACGCCGCGTGAACGTGAAACATGGCCGAAGGAGGCGATGTTTACTTCGCTGTTTTCACGTAAGAATGCAGTAGTTGTTACAAGTTTACAAGCAAATTGTTACGAATCTGTTCACAAGCTGTCGAGAAGATGTGTTCGCACTGCTTGTTCCCAGTTGTTGTAACAAGTTTGGAACAAGCTGTTATCAGCTTGTAACAAGCTTGATGGCATTATCAGACTTGTTACAAGATTGTTCTAACAAGTCTGATGCAGTCATGATGTAGCAAGAATGTTACAAGGTTGATGACACAAGGTTGTAACAATATTGTTGTATCATGACTGAATCGGACTTGTTGGAACAATGCATCATGCAACCAGTCTGATAATATCAACAAGGTTGTTACAAGTTGTTAATAGCTTGTTTCAAACTTGTTGACAACTTGGGACAAGCAGTGCGAACACAACTTGTTGACGGCTTGTTGGCAAACTTGTTACAATATGCGAGGTTTTTACGCGTGTCGCGTGTACTCCTTGACTTTGGATGTACCTGTCACTGTGCGTGTGGTATTAGATATATATTAGACAATTCTTTATTTTTTTTAAATTTTTGCCCTCCCGCCCTAATATTGGCGAGCAAAATCCGTAATCCAACAACAAAAAAGCGTGGCCTAATAGAATTGGAACACCCTTCTTTATAATACTTCCATTTTTCGACTTTCAGATATTCAATGTCCAACGGACTGTAGGAAGAGACCCGACATACGAAAATTAGAAGCAGGAAACGTAAGTTGCGTTGCGTGCTATAATGCGCTCTATATACTTCATTATTTTACTCTATCGAACGCCAGACGATTTTACCATAGATATAAGGATTTTACTCGTCAAGGGTATAGCGCTGGCGCGCATTAGGTTACGGGAACAAATTGATTTAGAAATAACGGACTCTCGTTTCCTTTTCTTGGTGTCATTTTTTCAACAAGCAATTCTTATATACTACTTTGTCAGATGGAAGAAGCGGCCCGCGAGAAATCCAGGTTAGAAAACAAACAAAGACATGCGAGGAAAGATCGGGAAACAGAGGGTAAACAATGGTCACCAAGGTAAGATTTTCTTGAGGAAAATATCTGAAAATCCTCATGTATCCTCAAATGTTCCCCTGTTGAAGGAAACAACATTTTCTCTTCGCGGAAAGCAAAACACTGGAAAAAGTTTTGAAAATCCATAGAATGGAAATTGTATGGACCTTTATTGGAAATAGAATGGATTTGGATGGAAAGCACAGCATTTTTCTTGCTCTCCAGATATTGTTATGCAAAGTGTTCTTATGCCAGCTGTAAAGTGCTTATTCATTTCGCAAGTGCAGTTATATTAGGGCCATTTATACCAGCGAAAATAAACCGCGTCCTAAATAAGCCGCGGCTTAAATAAGTCGCGAACGACTCGTATAAACAGTCAATTTGCAATAAGCCGCGGCTTATTTAGGCCTAGCTTTCAAGCCTGGGCTTATTTTAGCCGCGGCTTATTGCAAATTGAATGTTTATACGAATCGTTCGCGACTTATTTAAGCCGCGGCTTATTTTCGCTCGTATAAATGGCCCTATTGTCTCGTAAACGGTGTTAGAGAGGCTCTGATTTGACTAAAGCTACAATCCAGGAAAAAATTATTGTGGACAGCGCGCGCGGAAATATATATACACCTACCAAAGTTGTTCCAACAACTTGTTATCGCCCTGCAGTTCAGTCAACAATTTGTCAACAAGTTGTGAGTGACAACCTTGTAACAACTTGATCAAAACAACAGCATTCTTGCAATTTGTTGACACGCTTGCTGCACACGTAAAAATCTCACATCTTGTAACAAGTCTGCCAACAAGCTGTCAACAAGATATATTCGCACTGCTTGTTACAAGTTGTCAACAGGTTTGGAACAACTTGTTGACAACTTGCAACCTTGTCGAAATTAACAGACTTGTTGCAAGGTTGTTCTGACAAGTCCGTTACATGGTTGATGTAACAAGATTGTTACAACCTTGTGTTGACAACCTGGTAACATCCTTGTTATATCACCTTGCTGTAACAAACTTGTTGGCACAGTCTTGTAACAAGGCTGATAATGCCATCAAGCTTGTTACAAGTTGTTAACAGCTTGTTCCAAACTTGTTACAACAAACTTGGAACAAGTAGTGCGAACACAACTTGTTGACAGCTTGTGAAAAGACTTGTAACAACTTGTTTGCAGACTTGTTTGAGATTTTTACGTGTGATGTTACATGGTACAATTTGCAACGACGATTCTCTGGGCAGCGGCCGTTGATTTCTAAAGGCATGTTACTGTGCAACAGCTGTGCACGGAAAATCCTCCTTAATAACTTGGATAAAACAACTCATTTGCTTCCCAACAGGTGGTTTAAACTATTAGAAGACCCAGACTCAAATACTTCATGTCATACATACCAAGGTGGTTACTGGAAATCGAGATGCGAAGGCAAATTCGATGATATGGCTGATCTATACTGACGCAATATTGGGGATAGTAGCTATAGTTATAATATGCTGAAAGCCACGTATTTAGATTATGATAATATGATTATTTTTTGGCTATACAATAGCTATTATTTAAGAGAAAATTCGACTATATATTATACCCAGTTATTTATAGTAACAACTAATGTTTCGGGTTAATGAAAAAAATGCGTTAAGTTTATATTTATTTATGTGAACAAGCAATGACTTATGCTCAGTTTGTTAGTAAAAACTACAAATTGAGATGAATAACGCGTATATATTTAAATTTAAATTGAACTATTCTTACGAAATATTGTAATCGTACAATCAGTATTTATATTTTGTTACAAAATAGGGATTTAGAATCACCAGACAGTTAAACAGTATACATGTTTGGAAGAATTTTATTTTGAAAATTTATGGTAACCCTTAAGGCCCATTTCGACTCAAGAAAATGTTCCACCGACAGAAAATGTTCCGAAAATACCATTGTTAAAAGTTGAAAATTTTAAAGTTCAAAATTTTTTTCCGACGGAAAATTTTTGTCGACCAATCACATTTTACAAAATTTTCTTTCTGCGGAAAATTTTCCTAAGTGGAAATGGGCTTTAATTAGCCTGAGCACAGACCTTGGTTTTATACTCTATTTTGCGGGTGGGTTGGCTTGCCATTCCATCCGCGGATATTAGGGCAACAAAACAAAAATCTGCTCAGGCCTAGACTGCATGGCAGGCGGTCCCTAAAATCGGGCAAGTCTGTGAAAGACCGCCTGCCATGCAGGCTAGCTCAGGCCAGGAAACACCCTGCGAGAACGCCTGGTCGCAGGTAATTAGGCAACACTTAGCCTTGGGCTTTTATGAATAAAATAAAATAATAAAAATAAATAAATAAATAAATGAATGTAATTCTCATTCTTCTGAGCATTATAATCGTATTTTTTTTCGCACAGAGAAAAGATAAATTTCTTAAATTGATAACAAAACTAGTTCTTTACCAATTGGATTTTTTCTCCAGCAGTTCTAATATGCGTACGCATGAGTCTTTTATTCTTTATATGAATTTGCGCTTTATTTTCTGCTGGCAGAAAATTAAAGATTCAGCATGTCACGGGTATATATTATAGTTACTATAGATAGCATGCATACATTGATTTCAGACCTCGTAAAAGTGTTCCTCGGATCCTGAATTTGTTTAATGAATGTTCTTCAAAAGTATGCGCGGCAATGTATTCTTCGTTTGCACATGACGTCATGGCGGCCGTGTTGGCGAACCACTGATACACACATGAAAACCAGTGGTAAAAAGGCACAAGTTGTAACAAACCTGCCAGCAGACTTGTAGCAATGCTGTTCCAACAACTTGTCAACAGGATATGTTCGCACTGTATGCTTATTCCCAGCTTGTTGACAAGTTGTCAACGGCTTGTTGTCAACTTGCTTTACAAGGTTATTGAGCTCAACAGACTTGTTACAAGTTGTTCCAACAACTTGTTATCGTCCTGCAATTCAACAATTTGTCAACACGTTGTGAGTGACGATCTTGTAACAACTTGATACAATAACAGCATTTGTTACAACTTGTTGATCGACAAGCTTGCTACAAGCCTGTTGCGAACACATCTTGTTGACAAGATTTTTACGTGTGTAGTTGGAGGAACGCTAACAAAAGAATATCATTAGCAGCTATTGTACAAGTTGTTACAGGTCTGCAAACAAGTTGTTACAAGTCTGTTCACAAGCTGTCGACAAGTTGTGTCCGCACAGCTGCCTGTTCCTAGTTGTTGTATAAACAAGTTTCGAACAAGCTGTTAACAACTTCTAACAAGCTTGATGGCATTATCAGACTTGTTACAAGGCTTTTCTAACAAGTTTAAATTTAAAATGTTCCTTTAATCTTGTTTAAAGCCAAATATTCTCATAAAGGATCCCGTGGATTCCCACTTTTCAGGCCTGATGTGTCTTAAAATTATTGTGTGCATGTAATTAAATATAAATATATTTAAATAAATTTTACACATTCATGAGTTGTATTTTACTGCTTCTTTTATTTCTAAACCAAGAAAATATTATATATGTTACTGTGCCTGTGCTAGCCACCACGCGAGGCAGTTACACACGCAAAAGTCTCGCATCTTTTGGCATGTCCCAAGTACAGTGTCAACAAGTTTGGAACAAACTGTTAACAACTTCTAACAACCTAGTTGTATTATCAGACTTGTTGCAACTGTCGAACAATTCCGATACAGTCATGATATAACAATATTGTTACAACCTCGTGTCATCAACCTTGTAACATTCTTGTTATATCATGGCTGTATCAGACTTGTTAGAACAACTTTGCTACAATTCTGATAATGCCATCAAGCTTGTTACAAGTTGTTAACAGCTTGTTCCAACAACTGGGAACAAGCAGCTTGTGAACAGAGTTGAAAAAACTTGTTTGCAGACCTGTAACAACTTGTGCGTTTTTACGTGCGTAGCTCAGCAAGTTTCTCTCGTGCGCGGCATGCTTTAGACAGAGTAAAATAAAAAGGGTGCAATGCCAATGCAACTTAATGGGTTAAGCAAAATGTCAGGAATGAAGATTAGTTGCTAGATACAAGGAAATTAAAATTGAAGTGTTTTTACAAGTTCCTATGGAAGATGGAAGATATGGAAAAAATTGTTTCATAAATTTTCCCAAAACCAGGTGCAAGTAAAAAAGCTTTAATTGGTACATGTATATTCTACAAAAATATTTTATACTGTTTATAATACTGTACACTAGTCATTGGAGATCCCAGCACAGGGGATAGGTTACATCGTAAATCGTCAGTTCTGCCACAGTTGTATACTGAGCATAGGAAGAAGTTCTGGTGTTTCTTTGTATAACTACAGTAGAATGGACAGATTTTCCATCCTCAGGTAGTAGGTAATGGTTCTGTTTCTGGTGACAAGTTATTTGTTTCATTTAAAGTGTTTTTATCTCTCTCAGATGTTGGCTGTTCATCAATTTCTAACGAGACAATGTGTTTTCCAGGAATCATGGCAAGACCTAATATTCTTGGTTCTTCATTCTCATAATCTAGAAAATATATCATTTAAAGATGTTGGGTGCCTTTGCAAAGAAAGTTCATATCTAAAACATGGGGTCCGGCGTAGGTAGTGAATCTTTTCAGGTAGTCGGACATAAAGTATAACTGTAACCCTAGAGGTCCAGTGTTGGTAATATCATATTGCTCCAGTGTTACTGCAGGAGAAAACCCAACTACCTGGAGAAGGCAAGCAATCACACACGGAGAACTCATGGGAAATGAACCACCATCACAGAAATGAACAGAAAGGCACAATAGCTGGGTTTAAGTCATGTGGTACATTTAGCGCTTGGTGGTGAACTCCAAAAAGAAACACAGTTACCAGAGCGAGTTAATTTTTCATTGTGTACATGTAATTGACTTTGTGTTTGGTGGCAAATGCATGTAATTTTGGCGAAATTTGCTCACTTCCACAAAATATAAATTTTAAAGACAGGGTATGGTACGGTCTGCGCATGCGCATATAGTAGTCTCCTGCCGTGATATAAACACTTTAATTAGGTTTTTATTTCATTTTATGTAATTGCAAAGCCTGATTGTTGTATCTTGATAATTTACTGTAGAAGCATAAAAATATAAAAGTTGTCGAATAAAGTTCAATATTTTGAATACTGAAATGTAAACAAAGGCTAAGTTTGTTTACAAACGGACTGTACCCTACCTTTAATCGTCAATATGTGTAAAGTTGAAAACCAAGCGTTTCCCTATATGTGTTCGGCTTTGGCTATAGAGCCTTGTTTTTGTGTATGTGACATTATTTGTTCAAGCCTATCATCTCAATCCCTAAAATGAGGCTAATAGTCAATGTTAGCATACTTTCCGGACTGGTGTATTACACATCTAACACTTATTGGCCCAATACTGAATTGTTAATAATTCTTTAGTAACGTTCTTTATTATAAATAATTTATTACCAATTATTTATATTACCTTCGCCATACACAAACTCTTGGCATGATCCAAGAATAATGTTCATTTCTTGATCAGTACACAAGAATGATCCTATTAGTCGTCTACCATCAGAGATCTTTACTTTGATGATTTTATTCAACCAACTTTGCAGCAAGGCGCTAGACGGTGATACTGGAGGATCAGTCTCTTCAGACATCTATGGAACAAGAGAATATATTGACTCCTTTGTTTTGTATTAACTGCACACTTTGTGAGGTAAAACTCTCGCAAAAACATGTGCACACTGCACATAAGAAAATGTGGCTGACAGACTTGGACGGTTCTCAATATTTTCCCTAGTGGAGGAAACGGGTGTACCCCACTGAGGTGTACCCCTAGGGGTAGTTGTACTAAAGCTGGTTAGCTTAATCCCCCAACAAGCTGTTTTATATAGATTTCCCAGAAATCTTGTCTGGATCATCAGAAATTTTATTTTCTAAAGTTTTGAAATGAACAGGAAAATACAAACCATGATGACAGGTTAAAATACACAAACCATGATGACAGGTTAAATTTTAAACCAGTTTTGGACACTGGGCCACCGGCCCCTGTGTGCCAGTATCTCACCGGTGGCGGTGTACCCGCAGTTTAACCGGAGGTGTTTTGTGAAGTCATTTGAACTGAAACACTTATCACATGGTTTTACATTCAAGGATTCTACCATTAAACTATTCCTAATCCCACACATAATCCTAACCCTTATTCCTGTGAGTCATTCGCTATACCTGTATACCAGTCAAAGATCACCAGGGGGGGGGTGCTGCCCCTATAAATATTGGCAAGTCACACACATTGAACATCATCATTGAAATCTACCTGTATAAATTCCAATTTCTACGGCGGACTCAACGTAATAATACGTACAAGCCTTCGAATACAATCCAAGATACAAAAGAAAACGCCAAAAAGTGAGAAAATTGAGCAAGATTGAGGATCTTTGTTTACTTCTGTTTTGGCGGGCTTTTCCGGATTTGCACGAAGTGTTTCCGATAACTGCCATATTTGGGCAAATTCGTCATAATGGAGGTTTTGCAGTGAAATGGCTTCCGAGTGTTTCCGGCGACTGCCATATTTGGGCAAAATCGTCACAAATGACGTTAAACAATTCCCTTGAGTGCTAGAGAAGTGACGCAGTAAAATTGTTGTCGTTTGGGTGTTCCTTTTTTGTTTGAAAATTTTCGAATAGAATCTGTTTGCATCCTACGTGTATTTGTGTCTTTTTCGTCGTTGTTTGTAAGTATTCCTAGAGTTTAAAGTTTCGTCTACGTTTCTGTCGCTGTTTCGAAACGTTTAGAAGCGAAATAAAGGTAGAAATATGGATTTAAAGATCGCCGTAGTTTGTTCAAGCAATCAAAACAGAAGCATGGAAGCTCACAAATTTTTGAGGTAAAAATCGCCAAAATTGTTTATATATCGCCAAAATTGTTTATATTTTAACTCTGTATATAGTTTATTTCACCTAGAACAAGTTTTGAATTAGTATTTGGTTTTATTTTGTAGTAAAAAAGGGTTTAATGTGAAGTCTTATGGATCTGGCAATCAAGTGAAGCTTCCCGGGGCATCGCCAACTCAACCGAATGTTTATTCGTTTCACACAACCTATGATGAAATGTACAAAGACCTTTTGCGTAAAGACAGACAACTGTATCCATATATTCTGGATGTTTCATGATTTCATCTTCATTTTGCGAATATTTATGGTATATTTTTCTCCCCAAGTCAAGTCGGCTAGGGGCTTTTTGTGTTTGTGCCTTTGTTCTATTTTGTAGCCGTTTTTTGCTTCCTTGCTCGTTTTCTTCTTTCACAATTGTGGTTTCCCTATAACAAAGAGTGGTTCCCTAAGCTTCATAGTTATTTTTTCGGTAATATTATGATGAACAATTAGGGTTTTAAAATATTTTATAAATGTTGGGTAATCGGTTTAAAAAATTTAGTAAAGAATCTAATTTGGGGGTGCTATCCCATAATTCTGTGCTGGTTCACATTGCGTTGGCAGGGAAAAACATGGGCACAGAAATAGGACTGCGATCTTTTCTATGTTGTGTAACTGCAATGAAAAACGTTCAAATCCAAAAATCTTTTTGGCATGCCTTTCATTTTATTTTAGCTTTATTTTCTAGTCGATACAGTTAGATAGCTTTTTGCATTAAATGCATCTGGCAGTTAAAAACCTAAAAGAGGAGTGAAATGCATTTGTCAACGATGTTTGAAAACTGACACGATATTTAGGACAATATGAGCATACAGCACATCAGGCATCGTTTCTCTGTGTTGTACCATCTAAAATGTCCTCACTATTCTGTATAGCATTATTTAAAGGCAAAACACTGAACATACTTGCGAGTTTGTTTGTTGAAATACTATAAAAAATTGAAACTTTTGAAAGTTGCAGCCAATTGCCATACAGCTGTATTCATTAGTTTTAAGTATGTTTTATGTCACATACAAAAAATGTCCTGTTAATTGGCATTAATGGTTAAAAGGAATTGTATTGGTGGGTCCAATACGTGAAATTCAGTAGCCTATATTTAGTTTTTGACATTAGTGACTCTGATACTGATGACACTTCAAGAAATCCATAATTGTTGAACTTTCTTGAACATAATATATGCAATGACAATGCTTGTGTGTGTTCAGGGTATACATTGCATGCTCTTAAATTCGGAACAGCATCAATGCATATAATTTGTTGGATATCTCTTTGATCTATAATGTTTCCAGTTTTTACTACATTTTTGCACACAAGTTCCAATTATTGACATTTGTTTTTTCAATGGTGTTTCCAAGTAATACTTCATTTCTATTACCTTTGCTTATAACTTGTTGGTTTGGGGGGTGTGCGGGTTAACTTATTTAGGTAAAACCTGTTCCATTGGTGAAAGTGGCTCTCTGGAAGAAGCTTTATGGAAACATGTGAACAAGATGATGCTGTCATTTGAATAGCTTTTATTCAAATAAACTGAAGGAGTAGAGTAAACTAATTCACTGAAGAATTATATAGTTAGCTGTTGTAGGTACAGTAAGAGTAAAGGTGAGGTGTATTTGTAAAGATTTTATGGTTATGGATATGATAGTCATAGATATAGTTAAGAATAATGTAATCCCCTTAACCCAACAAAAATAAATACTATAATAATCTAGTTTACTTGGAGTTGATTATAACAGTACGTTTTGCATTGCAATTGCCTCATTGGATTTCAACTTTCTTTACTTCGTCAGTGTGAAACTATACTTGTTTTCATGACAACAAATAAAGAAAATTATTTCCAATGTACAATTTCTAACAATCCTTATAATTTCTTCAAACACCTTTGTTCTGAATGGTATGATTAGATGGAAATTTTGTCGTGCTTTTAAATTTATATTTAGCTTCATTGAATATTTCTGCCGTTTTAATGTTAATTCTTCACAAATGTAAATTCTTCAAATGAACTTGCATTAATGGGGCAGAAAGCCAAACTATCCCTGCAGATTGGAAGGAAACCTAATTGGGCCAAAAAGTAGCCTATGTTCACCTGCGCCTTGTCCGAAGTACAAGTTATCAAATTGGACTAACATTAATGCGTTTCTAAGTAGTTGGACAGAAAAGTGTCTTTTGTTGAAAACAAAAGTCAAAAAACCTTTCTAACAATGTAGCCCTCGGAGCTGAATATTTATCAACAAACCTTGACTTTGAGTGTAACACCGAGATTTTACGCACGTGCGACTCCAAAGGTAGAGCAAATCCTGATGGAACCCACCCCACTCGAAACCACAAACTTAAACTTCATCCTTTGTCCTCTCTCTGATGGAATGGAATTAATTGAGGATAAATTATTTCAGGTAAGTGTGCGAACCTCGTTTTCTGAACAATGTCGATTGGTGTCAAAAGTGCGCAGCATTTGATTGAGATACCGTGTTAGACTATAGTGGTACAAAAAAATACGAATGATTCATTGATTGAAGAAAATGGTCTCTACCCTTTCCAGATCGAAGAAGTTCAAAATGTTGATAAATTAAAAACGCTTAAATTTCATTACAGAGGATATTTTTGAACATACAAGTGTAAAGTAGTTCCATTGTTCAATGTCGATGGTCATTCTCTAATTCGTATGATATGGTCCATTTTAACATTGGTCATTGCGTCAATTTGAAAAATTATCACGCTGTTCTTTTGTCAACGACAACGTGATCCTCCTAATCAAAGCTAAATTAAAATCCAATGCGTGAACGTTGAGTCTGAGGAGTGAGGGGAAAATGTTATGTGATACGACATGCACAGATTTTTTGTAAACTTAGTTAATATCCAAAAATCGCCAGCAGTGGGCAGTGATGACAAACATCCTAAATATTCATAATCTGCATCCTCATTCCCCACGCTCAGTTTTTATGTAGTAGCTGTGTTCGTACGATGAAAATAAGAGCTCGGCAAGTTTTAAATACAGCCATTTACGCAAACAAAACTACAGGTTTATTGAAACTATAAACTATGAGTCTATAATTATAAACACAGTAAAATTACATATGAATAAATTTATGTTACTATATTACAAGTAACAAGGTATTAAATTACAGACAAAAAAAACGAAGTCAAAGAAATGCCTGTGTAATTGAGTATTGTAATCAAAAACTAAAATATTAAAGTAATATAAAGTTTCATCCAGTTTTAAATTAAACCAACACAACCTGCGAGGAAACGGTTAGGAACTTGGGGGTGGTATATTCAAGAACAACACTCGACAGCATTTCTCGGTCGGGATCTAGAATTGCTGAATAATATAAGAACGCAATACTATAAAGTTGACTAGGTTTACATGTCTCCACTATTTTCACAAAGTATGCAGCGTTTGAAAATGTTTCCTGAGGACGAGGTGTCATTCAGAACTAATTTAGTTAGGCGAAAATCATTTAAATCGATGCTGCTACTATTTAGGCACAGTTCGAATTCTTGGAAAATAAATTTCTAAGAAACAATAGTTATAATATCATGGAATCTCGTCGTCTGATTTGAATTAGCGAACTGTTTCGAGAACGCATTACAAATAGAGAAGGAATGCATACTACTATAGTGATATATTTGAAGACAATATTAAAATTGCCATGATCCTACTGAGCGAAGATACGTTTACACATTCCGATTCTCGGGAGAATGGTTTGGAGGAGGGCGGTAAACAAATTCTACGGTGATGCGGGGCATGAAAATTCCCTCCCAGGAAAATCTTCAAATCTAGAATCTCTGAAATTGTTTTCGTGTTCTAAGGCTAAGGAAGATTTGACATTCAGAAATGTCGACCATAAGTTCCCATAACTACCCACAACTGTTCCAGCCACGTGTAGAACGGGGAATAACAAATGGCAATTTAACCCGAAGGCGAAGTGGGGGGGGGGGGCGGCTTACGCTGCTTATGGATCTATTTCTGGTTTTGACGAATGTTTATGGCGAATATTCAAATGACGTTTACCTCGTATTTTCATGGCAATCGCAGTGTGTAAACCTAGGCTAAACTCTACAGGATCGAAGGATTGGCTGCTCGTGTTTTTGTCCATCCTAACCGTCGGTTATCTGTCAAATCAGTTACTTCGACATTGTAAAATTACACTCCACTACACTGACAGTGTAATTTTCCCGTATTACGTAATCCATACCATCATAGGCTTGCAATTGTTTCCTCGTCTTCCCAGCGATGTCTACCACACCTATTCATTCCAAAAGGTCTCTGAGCGGCTCTCTTTCATCTTGCTGTCTCGGCACGTGTCCGTACTATCTCAAACTTAGTGCTTCCCGCATCCTTACTGCTATTGTACGTCTCGATGTCTTCTGATCTTTTCGTTCCACGGAATATGTGTCTGACAGCTCTCCGTTTCCTCTTACTAATACATAGTCATAATTTTCTGCCATTTCTTCACAGGGTTCGTACGTCCCTCTTTATTACGTGTTCATAGCCATAATTTTCTGCCATTTCTTCACAGGGTTCGTACGCCCCATGGTTCCGTACGCCCCTCTTATTACGTGTTCATAGCCATCATTTTCTGTCATTCGCAGGGTTCGCATGCCCCATGAAAAACCTGGATTTTTATTTTAGTCCTGAAAATTCTTTGAAAAGTCTTCGAATTTCAAAGGACCCCTGAAAAACCCTTCAAAACTACTAAACTTTTAAAGTTTGTTCGTTCACTGCAACCAGGTATATCAATCATGTTTCGCTCGCTACTCTGGTTTAAATAAATGATTACAAAGCCCAGTTGAATTGTAATCGAGACCGAACGTTTCGACACTCCAGTCTAGTGTCTTCATCAGGGGTGATCTAAAATTGCAATCGTGGCTTCTTAAATACCCAAGGGATGACGTCACCTGCCAATGAGATACATATATTCCTCTGGCAAATAGGCACCGTCATCCCTATTACTAAACTTGTATGTGAAAATATATTAAGTAAACGTTCTTTTTGTCCCAAAACTTTTTGCGCATACAATATGGTCTTCCTCACTACTTGACGGAGACATATAGTGAAAAACTGGTCGACATATTGGCAAAGTTACTTTTGTTATATTACAAATACCCCTGGGAAATTCCTGGAAAACGTTAGAAAAAAGTCATTGAAAATCCTGCCTCCTGAATTTTTACAATTTTGCTATCTCACTTGTCGGACCAGTTTTCCTCTTCATCTCTTATTACGTGTCCATACGATCTCAGCGTTGCTTACATTCAGCCAACTTCTGATGATCTATTCATTCCGTAAGCTTTCTGTTTGGTCTCATCACCTCATTCTGGTCTTTCTGCAATTCCTGATCTCTGCATTTTGGCAGTTTTTGTCGAAACTCCTTGACCTTGACCTTGCAACGTTATCGTCGGATAAAAACATTGTCTTCAAAGGTGTTCAAAATTCCATTTGTCTTTATTTAATTTGCAATATATTTAATTTAATTTATAAACTTTGCCGATGAAACATTACATAACAGGACAAAAACAAACGTACATAATAAAATACAGTACATGACCACGGCTGGGTGACCGCAACAGCGAATAGCCAATACTGCAGGCCCGAATATAGTATTCGGTCCTGCAATGTATACAAATCCTCTTTTACAAACGTAGAATGAGTCCTGTTAATTGTATTTAAAGATTGCTTGTGTTCAGCTTGGGCCGGTTTTCCTAGCTGTAAAATTAGTTGCCATTTTGCAATAGAAATGCTCCAAGGAACACGTGCATGCATGTTAACAAATCGAGAAAACGACGAATTGAGAAACATTGTACATTATATATAGAAGCATGCAGGTCGATATCGTCATGCCTGATTTATTTTTATTTACCAAGAAACGAACACGGCCGGTGATCCGCGGATTTAATCAAATATTTTCATGAAACCTTGTTTTCATTTCGACGAAACGACGGTTGAAGGCTGTGTGGGGAGATTTTACGGGGTTGAGCAGCGCAAAAATTGACACGGTTTAAGGTCCGGACGCGATTCGACAACGCGACGCGATTTTTTAGTTTTTCAAAGTTAATAAAACAGCCAAGGAGAACAAATTTTGAAAGATATGTAGACCAAATAACTCGAAATGTTATACCGCTTCTAAATATTTGGAAAATTTAAACTAGAATCGTAGTTATCGGTCAGTGAAAGTCGCGTCCAGTGTGTCTGGACCTTTAATTTGACTTTTTTGTGTTTATGTCTGTTGCCAATACCGGCATTGCTACGCCCAATTCACATTTTCTGATGATTCTGTAATGTTTTTGTTTTTTACTTTATTTCCTTAAATTGTCGGCTGTTTCTTGCTTTTAAACTTGCCAAGGCCATGCACGTGGCACTGGCACTGTTTTGATAATGATACATGGGTAACAAATGGAACCAAGCGTTTAAATTGTGCAAGTAATTAAATTGTGTGCAGTAATGGGCATAAACGCGCTAAAATAAACAGGTTACAGCGCTGAGGTTTGCCTGTGAGTATATTATATCACATTTTTCTGATGATGCATGGTTACGAAAGAAGGCAATTTAACTTTCAAATAAAATGTTTCACTGTTTAATAAGCCGTGTGTGCTGGATGATTCCAGGTCCAGCTATAGATGAAATTTTGATCTAGACAAGAACAAAATCCATTACCATAGCTGGAAAGAGCATCTTAAAATGAGTGAAATTGCAAAGTTTGGTTGTGAATTGTTGTAAAATGAGGAAAATATAGCTCTGAGAGGTTCACAACTTTTGTATATATTTGTATTACGCGCGTGAAAAATAACCATTTTTGAGCCGAAAGTGGTTATTTTTACCGCGCGTAATACAAATTAAATACAAAATTTGCGAACTTTACAGGGCTATATTTTCTTCATTTTACAAAATTTAGCAACCAATCTTTGCAGTTTTCTCATTCTAAGACGCTCTTTCTGGCTGTGGTGTTGGATTTCGTTCTTCTTCCCTTGATCAAAATTTAGTCATAGAGTATAGCTGAAATCACCCATTGCAATGTTTTGTGTTGCAGAATCCCAGTAAAACACGCAGTTCATTGTAACCTGTGCTGGCTGTGCATGATTGAACTAATCACGTATTCTAACTAACAACTAATCCTGAATCAGAAATAAGACACCTCAGTTCAAATATTTTGAAAAATATCTGTAATCTGGGCATATAGAAAGTATATAATATTTTTAGCAGACAGAATATTAACTTTGTTGTTCACTCTAAAACACCTTGGGCTTGGTTAAAAATTTTCTGGTTAATCCAAAATTAACACTGCAGGTTAATCACAATTAATAGAATACATGGTTTGGAGATTCGATGAAAGTACAATATAACTCGTGCAAGAATTTGGGCCTATCTCATCACGTGTGTATCCCGCACAACCAATAGCAATGTTTAAATTGAGCATTTGTTCAAGTTACGGATAGATAACTCAACCACGAACTTGTTATTGGTTATTTGAGCGAGAATACAATACACACGTGACGAGATAGGACCAAATTCTTGCATAAAGCTGGACAATAACATATAGTTAATGAGTTATATTGTACTTTCACCGAGTCTCCAAACCATCTATTAAAATAACTGTGGGTTAATTTAACCAAAGTCCTGCTTAATTTGATCATGGTCCTGGCTAATTTAACCAGCATTACTGGTTAATAATCCACCTAACATAATCTGGTTAATTCAACCATTTAGCCTGGTTAAATTAGCCAGGAATCCTGGTTAAATTAGGCACATCAATTTAAGCAGGAACATTAAGTTACCAGTGAGTTGATTTTAGATTAACCAGGAAATTTTTAACCTGGGTGTTTTTAGAGAGTAGAAATATGACTATAATATAAATCTTCATATTTAGCTAATCCTGGTTAATTTAGGCACATCAATTTAAGCAGGAACATTAAGTTACCAGTGAGTTGATTTTAGATTAACCAGGAAATTTTAACCTGGGTGTTTTTAGAGAGTAGAAATATGACTATAATATAAATCTTCATATTTAGCTAATCCTGGTTAAATTAGGCACATCAATTTAAGCAGAAACATTAAGTTACCAGTGAGTTGATTTCAGATTAACCAGTAAATTTTAACCTGGGTGTTTTTAGAGTATAGAAATATGACTATAAATCTTCATATTTAGCTACCTGCCATTTATGGTGCATTCTGCAGCGAAGTCAATACCCTACAAAATTGATTATATATGAGTGAGCAATCCCTTCGTGTCACCGACACTGATATCTAAAATGCTCGTTATTATACTGACCTCGTTGTTTTAGATGGGAAACCACTCTTCAGACTCAGAAGAAACTTTAACGAATTTGGGACTCTATTTCTTCTTCGATCTGTTCTGGTCTCACTCCTTTTTCTATTTGCTGCTTTTCTACTAATCATTTGAGTATACATGTTATATATGTTTGTTATTTAGTACCAATTAGTAGAGCATACGCCTCTCAAGGTGTTGTTACACAAGCGATCTTTGCTGCAACCCACAACGCAATTTCTGGTATTGTGTCATGTTAAACCTAATCGCACTAAAGATGAGAACCTGTCACGCATTTCATCCGCCGACTTAGCTTTCCTGTCGTAACATATTTAAAGGCATGACAGAAATGATTGAAAAATACCAGAAAGTGTGAAACAGCCCATGCTTACTGACACACCATTAATACTTTTTAACATAACTGCATCACTATATCCAAAATCGCGTTGCAAGTTGCAAAAAAATGCCTGGTGTTAAATGGCCTTTAACGTGATTTTTTGTGGTATAATATAATGATATTGTAAAGCGAAAATTCCTTAACTCCAGCATTCTCAGATATACACAAAACGGAATCCTCCACATGTTAGACAGAAATAGAAGAATAAAAGCAAGACCAGAAAGATTTCAAGATACCAAAGAAAATTTTGATATCGTTATAACGGCTGAAGAAAGAGTGTATGATCAAGTCGTTGAAAGTAAGGGCTGTGGATTGGTACTGTACTATGAAGACAACGACAATGCATGTGCTGATTTCCTTTGCGCATGTTCTGCTCGTGAAATAGTAGAAATACAGTAATCTAGGAGCAAACAGAAAATGAAAGTTGGAGACGTCGAAATGTCTTTTCCATTACGCCAGACATAAAACGTGCCCGATCATTCGCTGGAGTAACATGCACGTTTGATTTTTTTATTCAAATGTATTAACTTTCTATTTTTTCTTTCTTTTTTTTCCTCAAAAGGTTTAGAAAGTCGAGAACCAGTAACATATTCTCCAGTTCACGTAATAAACATCGACATACAAGATAACCACGAAGAAGCAACGTTAGGCGCCTTCCTTGTTTGCAATCTTTGTGAACAGGTATATTTGGAGGTTTATGGTTTCGTCGTCTTCATGATTTCGGTCTTTGAAAACATGTACAATTTCTGTTAACCCATGAGTATTTGCCTCGGCAAGTTCCCACCGTAAATCTTTTTCCGTGTCCCACTTCTTTCTATGATCATATTCTATGCTCATAATCTGCGCCTACCTTTCGATATCTTCCATCTTGATCTGGAAAAAACGGATCTCGTGATACTGGATGCTTTGGAATACTTCCCTTGTAGCAATAGGATTAAAGCATGTACATTCTGAAATATTCACACTAATTAGGGGCAGTTCATATACGAGCGGACCAGCTGGGATAAATCGTGTTTGGATGTTTATCAAAGCCATGAGAAGAGCTTTGCCTTTGGAGCTGGGAACTGGGATGATTCGTTTAATTTATGAACAGGCCCTCACTCTTGTTTCTTATCTGTGAGACGTTTTTCATAATTTTATTACCTTATATTTAAGCATTAAATTCTCTATTGTCTTTACCAACTTTTAAAAGGCATATGACTCGAAAATTGACGTTGTTATATTTTTTAGTCTAATTTGAAAGATCATTGAAAACTGTAGAGTAACTTCTTTGATAGATTTATGTTTTCTTGCTTCGTTTAATACAGGTACTTCATTTTGTATGATATTTCGAAGGACCAACTTCCTACGTCACATATGCATAATGTTTAGCCTTAAAAATCTTTAATACGACTAAACACAATCAGTAGAAAACCTACATGGGTGTTGTTGTGGACAAATCTCGTGCTCATTCATTTTGAGCGAATTTATTTGATAGTGACAAAATTATATAACATTTTAAAGTAAGTCATTATGCATGTGTGACGTAGATAGTTGGTCCTTTGTATATCATACAAAATGAAATATCTCCAAAACGAAGCAAGAATCTGTCAAAGAAGTTACTCTACCTAGTTTTCAATGATCTTTCAAATTAGACTAAAAAATAACAACGTCAATTTTCGAGTCATATGCCCCTTTAAGCAACATTTGAAAATGCAACTTCTGAATACACCCTTCCTACGTCATTTGGCTATAAATCTTCGTTTTCGTGTATGTGAGATCAATTAAAACCAAGCGTCTTAATCATGAAAACGAGGCTCTAGAGCCTAAAGAATTTATCCATATCTGTTTCCACGATGTTCAGTCCGGTTTTTTCCTTGATCATGACCCCAGTCTTATAATAATAATTTCATTCTTTCTTTTACTGTTTTCAACTGTTCATTATTTGTACGATGTTCTTGCAATGTGATCATTCATTAAATTGTATAAAAAATATTTTAGATCAGCAAAGCAGAAGACACGGAAGGTGAAATCGACGAAATTCTCGAAGCTTTAGAACGCAAACAAGGCAACCGAAATATTTTACACACTGTTGCGTTTTATTAAATTATATCTAGATAATTATTTATAAAAATGAATGAACCTATCCATGCCCTCCATGCATGGCTTTCACTATTTTAAGGTTTTGCGTGAAAATAGTGTGAGCCATGTGGAACAGAATTGAGCTTGCAGCATGCGTGGACAAATAATTTTGGAAGTGAGGTTTATAGCATGAGAAAGCGGTTGGTTTGGGAAGAGATATACTACTATACATTTGACCCATGAGCATATTTATCCTATGAAGTTTTGCCGGATATACTGTGGATAATATTTTGTAAATACAGTGTTAAATATAGACCATTCAGAGGTTTCTCCAGCGCAATTTTACATAAAATTTACGTTCGTTTTCCATATGAAAACTTTCGGCCATCTTAATGTAAGATTATTAGTTAATATGTATATATAGGGGCGCTTTCCATTAACACGGCCAGACCGGTCAAAACGGTCAAATTGTTGAATGAAACACAAAACATTTGGGCTTCGGATCTATCTGACCGGAAAATTTTGATAACATTAGAACGAGGTCCATTTTCGCTAGATATTTGAGAAAAATAGACCAGATCTTTCCATTGACACAGAGAAAAGAACTTGGGTTTCACCGGTCTGGCCGTTAAATGGAAAGCGCCCTAGGTATAGTCCTCTTTGAATTATCATTGTAATACGTATGGTGTATATGTGCCCTTGTACTGCTAGTGTATTGGAAAAATTACCAAAAAGTATGTTATATAGTGTACATTTTGCAGAAATCAGTTAAGAATATTTATGAAAAGTGGTACTGACTTGTGTATTGACCGATTCGAAAACAAGCCCGCCACAATTTTGCATTATTTTACATTTTATGCAGTACCAGATTAAGCAATTTTTACAGACTGCTATTTAAGACAAACGCCTGTATTCTAAAAGCTCAATATGCACTTACACTCGAAGAGTGGAGGTTCAATCTGAGCTTCCCTTGAGTGTCAGTGATGTTTTTGAATAGCTGGAGGGTGTGTAGTCGTGTAGTAAGGTACGAGACTCAGGGTGTCCACAGGCCTTGGAAATCCTGGAAAGTCCTTGAATTGGGAAAAAAAAATTTCCAGTTCTAGATCCTTGAATTTACTTAAGAAGGGCCTTGAAAGTCCTGGAAAAGTCCTTGAATTTCACCTTCACCAAAGGGTGGACACCCTGGAGACTAACCCTCCAGCTCTTCAAAAACAGCACTGACACTCTCAAGGGAAGCCCAGATTGAACCTCCACTTTTTAATTGTGAGTGAGCTTTTAGCCATACAGGCGAAAAAAGTTAAGATTGAAAACAATCCATGCAATCGAAATTCTAAGCCTTGGAAATGGAGACCAAAACGAGGCTAGTCAGGCTTGTTTGTTGAATCGAGCAGAAACTCCAATACATTAAAGATTTAATTTCTCCAAAAGAGTACATGGTATTATATTTAAATTTTATAAAACTGATAGTCTTAAAAGTTTTCAGTTCTATCAGTTATTATATAAGACGGCTGTGACTGTCCTTAGCTAGGCCTGCGTCACAGGCGCTCGTGGGCGGATCACACACACACACAGACTATGTCGTAGTCTATGATTACCTCTGTTGAAATTAATTTCGAGAGAAAAAACTGGCAACTATTTTTTCGAATCGGTGTATAGGCTGTACCATTTTGGGAACGGGTTTTGACTCTGTGGTTTGAATCCTGGCCCTTAGGAGGTTTGCGGTGCATGATTTTGAACCGAGATCACGGTGATAGGCTTTTTTTAAATAGTTAAATTGAAAACGAAACAAAAAAAACAACGCATAAAACGCCCCAATTTTTTAATTATATTCCCTCTTACTGCATGGCAGAATATCATTTCAAGATATGCATGCCATATTAAAGAACAACGCCATTTGTAAATTTGAATCCTCCGAATAATGCATCTTGTAAGTTTAAGACTTGAGTTTAGGCTAAACCGAGGAAGAAAATGCATCGATCATACTCCGTGATCTCTTCTCAAAATTAAGGCTATATCTTAATTGTAAAACTCCGAAGTTTCGTTGCAAAATGTTGTAAAATGCGGATAATATAGCCTTGCGAAGTTTGCCGTTTTTCAGTCATTTTGTATTACAAATGGGAAATTGATAATCAGATGATCAAACTGATTATCAATCTCCCATTTGTAATACCAAATGACTGAAAAACGGCAAACTTCGCAAGGCTATATTATACGCATTTTACAACATTTCGCAACGAAACTTCGGAATATTACTAATTTTGTGATGCTCTTTCAAGCTGTGATGAGACTTTTGTCCAGACTTGTCTAGATCAAAATTTCACTTAAAAGGGGAAAGGTCTATTGGCCTTGCCTTGGGCAATGTCGATACCAACCTCGTGTCGATACACCCACCTTCACAAATACAAAATGAAGTATCACGCATCGGTTAAGCGCTGAGCCTGCGATTTTGCCGGAAATTTTAAAAGAAATTTTTAAAACTTCCATGGAAATCATAGATGGAAATTCCATGCGGTACAAAAATTTTAAAAACCAAAACCAAAGATAGTTGATTTTTTAATACAAAATGGAGCAAATATCGAGTGCTGATGTCCGTGTACCTAGAGGGGGAGATAAAGTTTATAAAGATCAATGTGTGTATTGTTTTCAAAGTCCTGTGAGTTGGCTACTATAAAGCTAGTTTGTTATTAATTAACGCTGTCAATTATATCATTTATATATTGTATTTATTAATTGTCTCTATACCATAAACTTCACTTGTTATATGTTTATTTACAATCACAGATATTTAAAACGTAAATGTAGTACTTTTAAGTTTTTCCTTATATTCACTTTATACAACAGAACTATATAGATAAATTCTATTTCAATACTTGTCAGTATACTACTTTGGATTACTTTCACTTTATTATGCACTCGTACAATGGCATTTCAAATATCATGACTCCTCACAACATTCTTTGAAAAATGCATGCGGGATGTACAAGTGCGTAAAAACCTTAATCATCTTACCAGCATGGACATTTACACACTGAGGTAAAAGAAAAAGTTAACATTTAACCCATCAAGTGGCAGCACTCTTCCCTTGACAAGTAAAATCGTCCAGATGGCATTAGACGGAGTGAAACAAGTTGGGTGCGTCAGGGCGCATTGCCACTTAAAGGGTTAATGAAAATACACACATTTTCACGTCAAAATGAGTGGAATATGTTCTATGATAAGGGGATCTTTATTTATGCCAGTGATATGCCTGCACAATGGCTGCAGACATGATATCCATAATGATTTCTTTGTTGCCGCAGGCAGTTGCGCTGGTGATATCCTAAACCAGGTCCTAAAATATTCTGTTTGGATCTGGAAAAGCATGCCATAGATCTTATAGTACAAGATATGATAAGATCCTATAAACTAGCTCTCTTTAAAAAAAGAGTTTCACCTTTTGTTGAAGTTTATACATTTCAAGTATGCGGTTGCTTTGTCAGCTACAAACATCAGGGCTCATTGTCTGAGAGAAGACTGCATGAAATATTGAAATGCCAATAAGTTTGCTCTTAACCAATTGAGTGGCAGCACTCTCCTCCTGACAAGTAAAATTGTCTGGCATTAGACAGAGTAAAATAATAAAGTAGAGTGCATTTGGGCACATTGCCACTTAAAAGGTTAATTAGTGCCTCTTATTAGCTATATGCAGGCTAATGTCATACAGTTTAGTTTGTGATAATAAAGTATAATAAATCCAAGCTGAATTTAATTTATCAATTATGACCTATTTAGAAATTTGATGGTGGCCTATATATTTGTCTGAATTCTTTCCTTGGATTTTGTTCAAACCATGTCAAACTGTATTGTGACAAAACAGGCAGAAGAATCTATTTACATTATAAACAATTATTTAAGGCAAGAATTAAAATTTTTAAAACTTTTTTTGCCATTTACGACAACAGTGTATGCTGTGATCTCTATATAATGATATCTGGAGCAAGAACTTGTATTCATTCATTCAGCCTATGAGAAAAGTGAAGCCAAGATAATGGAAATACATGCTTCTGGAAAGTGTGTCACCAGTTGTCTATAAGGCCTCGTTTTGGTGAGAGATGTTAGGCTTTAACTGATGTCATATATATATATATATATATATATATATATATATATATATATATATATATATATATATATATATATATATATATATATATATATATATATATATATATATATATATATATAATAATTCAGTTTCTTTGAACGTATATGTAGTGCATGAAGAGTGCTCAATATTACAAAATAGAGCGATTTATTAATAAAATGTTTTTGTTCTACTCCGAGTTTGAGAATGTTTTTGTTGCCTGATGATTGCCTTTACGGCATGAAACTCGGAGTAGCAACAAAAACATTTTAAGTATTAATATATATATATATATATATATATATATATATATATATATATATATATATATATATATATATATATAAAATTTGGTTTTGTTGGTTATAAAAACTTTTGGCAAAGTGCTCAATGGAAAACCAGAGCATATTTAAATTAAGGTACAACAAATCAACAAAATCCACTAGGCATCTTTATAAAGATGCCTAGTGGATTTTGTTGATTTGTTGTACCTTAATTTATATATATATATATATATATATATATATATATATATATATATATATATTTATATATATATATATATATATATATATATATATATATATATATATATATATATATGTGTCTACAGCTTTCACCACGAATAGTCCCGACATGTGCAGTTGCCCTAAAAACAATAAAGAACTGTGCCCACTGTCTAATAAATGTATCACCGAATCGGTTGTATATCAAGCCACAGTCACTACTAAGGACAAAACTACCAATAGACCTCCCCAAACATATGTCGGCCTTACTGAAAACTCGTTCAAAACAAGACTTGCGAACCATAAAGCATCATTTAGCTCTTTTGACAAACGGAACGCTACTGAACTTAGCAAATATGTGTGGGAATTGAAAAATCGAAACATCCATTATACAATCAAATGGAAACTATTAAAACGAGCTAAGCCTTATAACTGTGCTTCAAATAGATGTAATTTGTGTTTATGGGAGAAATACTTTATTATTTGTAAGCCAAAAATGGCCACTTTAAACAAACGAAATGAGTTAGTGTCTGCATGTAGGCATAATAAAAAATTCCTTTTAAGTAACATTTAAAAAGCTAGACATTTAAATATACCGCGGTGTGTTAATCTTTCCGCGTCCTGTCAGCTTATCATATAACATGTTTATTAAATCGCGTGCTTTGTAAATAGGATTAAGTTTCATGTCTCACCCACTTGTACATATAACCTTGTAAGTTTTAGTCTATAGTCATTAGGTCAATTTATCTGAAGAGTGCCACATACTGTGGTACGAAACTATTTAGTAATAAAGATGCCTAGTGGATTTTGTTGATTTGTTGTACCTTAATTTATATATATATATATATATATATATATATATATATATATATATATATATTTATATATATATATATATAT